CACACCCGTTCCTCCTTTGGGCTCAAACAATGCGCTTCGACGACCCAGTTTTCTTTCTTTTCTGATGAAGAAAAGGCGATACATCTAATGTCATGAATCATTTTCTAAGATCGCATTGTTGCGTTTTTAGATATCTGGGCTTATAGGGGTACTTTGTGTCGTCGAAAAGAACGTTAAGAAACTTGGTAGCAATTGGATATTGTTCTCATTGATAATGTGTTTATATGAATAAATACAGTGGAATCCCGATATAACGAACTCTGACGGGGTCCATGAAATTGTTCGCTATATCGGGGGTTCGATAAAATTTCTTTGAGTTTTTTTCTAAATGCAAGCACCAGGAACCTTCTCCTCGGGGCTGTTTAGGCTATCCCCATATCCAACTTCTGCGCACAATTTACTCTGATCAAAAATGAAAATCTTGTTCATCACACATTATAAAATTTGGCTTTCTGTGTTGGACATTGCATTACACCTCCCCCACCCCCCGTTATTAATGGGTTATAAACTCCCCTAACCTCAAAGGGGGTTCAATATTCTGCCTCAATCGAGCTGGCCGAAGGTGCATTACCAATCCTTTGGTTTTCATCAATCCCTCCCACTTGTGGGGGTGTAGCCTCTACCGGTACGATGTTGATGCCCGTGCTTTCCCTGGTAGGGCAAAAGGGAACCCCTTTGTTTGCTGGAAGAACACAATGTTCGAGATTATCATGATGAGCAACGATCTTTTTACCCTCTTTGAAGCATAGTTTATAGGTGACCCCCTGGCTGGAGAGAACCTCACAAGGTCCAATCCACTTCTCCCCAAACTTCCAAGCCTTGGGACGGCGCAACCAGACCACTGCTCTTTTTTCAGATCAGTGAACCAGACAGATGTACCAGGAGCAAAGGGAGTCCATGTGGTAGAACTATGAAACTGAGGTGCCTGTTTGTTTCTAGACTGTTCTAACTGCTTCTGAGCAGACACCTTTATACTGTGCAAGGCATTTCTTGCTGACTTCATATAATCAGACTGACTAGAAGGATTTTTCAGTGGTAAATCTATTTCTAGCAGAGTTCTAGGGTCACGACCGAAAACCATCTCATACGGTCTGTAACCAGTAGATTCATGGCTGCTAGTGTTGTACGCATAAACAGCCAAGCTCACCCAGTTATCCCAGTCATCCCTGTGCTGTGAAACAAATGAAGATAGTATGTTCTGTATGGTTCTATTCTGGCGCTCCACTAGACCATCACATTGTGGATAGTAGGCAGTTGTCCTAGATTTATGAATGCCCATCGACCGGGAAACTTCGTGCATGAGGTTACTTTCAAAGTTTCGACCTTGATCAGAATGAATAATAAGAGGGGGGCCAAACCTGCTAAAGATACGGTTAACAAGGATCTGTGCAAAAGTAGAGGCTTTGATCTGTAGTGGGAAAAGCTTCACACCACTTTGTGAAATGATCCATTATAACCAACAGGTGCTAATTACCCCTGTTAGTCTCAGATAAGGGACCCATGATGTAGTCAATGGCCCAAAAAGGTTCATTAACATCAATTGACTTCAAAGGAGCCTTGTTACAGGGCCTCCGACGAATGGGGGGCCGGAGGGCCTTGGCCCTCCCACTTTTTTGCAAAACAATAGAGTTTTTTTCAAAATCTTTTGTTAGGGGTGTTAAGTTTTCCCTTGGCCTCCCCACTTTTCAACCTTTTTCGGAGCTCATGTGTTATTGTGTGTATTTAGCTTATTTTGTGGACATACATGAGAACACTGAAAGAATTGAGTGTTCATACTTGACAACAGTGCCACGTCTTGAGTGTTTATTGTTATTGCCAAGGGCTAGTTTAGAACATTACTTGTCTTAATTGCCTGTTGTTGAACTCAAAGCTTTGGTTCATGACACAGCGTAATGTGGTTTGGAGCCATGTGCCCACTGCGTGCCCTTATCGCCTCTTGTTCTTGAGGTTTTCGAAATCAAAGCTCCTACGCTTAAATTTTCACTTTCAACCCATGGGAAAATTGTCACATAGTTTGTACATTTTTTCATGATGGAATTTATCAATCATCTCGTACATTTCCTCGTATCAATTTCGAGGAAAATAGGCAACTGAATCATCATTTCTGTTAAGACATGAGATTTTCACCTACTGATCTACAACATGAATGAAACATGAACAATCGTCATTGAGAATTTAGTCTTGCTGCCTGTAGCTGGCAATCAAATAGTGCTAGCATTTTCTATCGTTTGATCCAGATTCTCTGCTAGAACATAGCATGTTTCATTTAGGTGCTCCAAACATTTCTGTAAGTGTACCAAACTCCAAAGGCCAGAGAAATTATAGAAGAGAAATTCGACGATGTTATAGAAGAGAAATTTGTTTGAAGTGAACATTTAAGAATTAGCTGAAGAAACAGAAAAACGCGTCTCTTTTAGTAAATTTTGAAGATACTTCAGAATAAACCCATATTTGAACTGATGGTAATTCTACTGATACTGATAGGGCTATTAGGAAGTATTATGAGCATAGAGTGATGGTCATGAATTTCAAAATATTTGTTTCCATCAACTTTCTTTGTTTGTTTATTATCTGTTTCTAGGCATTGATTCTTTTGTTTCTAGGAAAAGATGATTTACTTGCCGAAGAAAGGTGACAAAATTTCACTGTAAAGGTTTGAATATTCAAGTTGATGTGAATTAATAAATTTTTTGGCACTTCCGCATCTCTTATTTCGTGAAAACCCCATCATCACCCCATCTTATTTTCACAGTTATGTGATTATATCTGATTGGTCCTTACTTGGCCGAAGAGCGTTGATAGGGCATGTTAACAAGTGGTTGATTATTCATTTAGAATAGATGAAGTTTATTTGACAGGTCAAGAAGACAGTTGGTATATCATTTCCATTTTCATCAGCTTGTTCGCAAATTGGCTTCTCAATCTATTGAAAATATTAATTTATTGCTGTGAAAAGTGTGGGTGTTTTAGGTGTTTCTTTGAGAAAATATCAAATGGTTACATAGTTACCAGCAAAATATTTTATATCCAGCCAGCTCTGAATTGATAGTGTACCGAAGTGTGACGTCATCAAAAATTTATTGCTAGAATTTCTTGTTTTGACCCCGGTGGGTCATCTCACACAACAAGTGTAAGTGTAAGCACCCGTTTCTGATGGTCTAGAAAACTGACCCTTATCTCTGATATTTGATTCCAATTTGATTCCCCTTTTTTTGTAACCAAAGAAAATTTATACCCTTTTTCCTGAAATCAAGTAGTTGAAATAAGGCCAAACAGAGGAAATTTACAAACTATATTAAGATTCCCATATCATACACTCCCTTTTTCTATTTTCTAGGTCTTAGATATATGACAAAATTGAACCCCTTTCTCAGAGAAATTGAAGGCACGGGTGCTTACACTTGACAATGAGAGTGGACCCGCCGGGGTTTTGACCACAAACTCTAAAAGAAAAGCATAAAATAAGTCACAGTATACAGAGTCAGTTAAATATGTTCAAAATTGTGTATGATTTGGCCAATGAAAGATTTCAGGTTTGCAAATGGATTGCTGTTTTTCTGGAATTGGTTCATTAAGTAATAAGCCAAGCCCAGAGACAGTGCTTTGATGGGAAAGGTGCCTGTGCTGATGTGGCCAGATCTCAGTCAATTCATAACAAACTCAACTGATTTTCATCATTTGAGGTATTTCATAATGTTTTTTGGCTTTTTTGGGTTATATGTTCTGAATTGAAAAATTCTCAAAAGAATGTGACGTCATCATTTTGGTGTTCTATTATAAATCGAATTAAAAAAGTTGTCTTGCCTGAAAATTTTTTCGCAAGATTTCCTTTCTTAGGCCTACATAGTGACACCCAGATTGTTTAGGCAGCTATAGAAGTACACGGACTAGATACAGATTGATGGAATTTATTGAGTTGGGCGCCTGTCCCCTCTTCTTAATGACATGAAATTTGTTGATGCCTTCCTATGCAAAAAATGTACACTCTTTCCAAGGGAAGGAAAGAGGTTAAAACTATAACTTTCTTGAAATTCTTGAAAAGGTAGCAGAATTTCCGAAACTTTTTATGACTCTGTTGCTTTTGGGGGAGTTGTAGTCCTATGACCCCTGTCCTCTACCCCCTGCTATTATATCCCTGGCTTTTTTTCAAGACTGAGATTTGGTCTTTTTGGTTTGTTCCAAATAACCCTTTGTTTTTGCTGTAAGCATTGCTGGGACCCAATCTACCCAAATATGCTTGAAAAGGATGGTAACAGCCTCGCTGTTTCATTCCCCCTAGACCTTCCATGCCTCTCAATAGTTTGTCTGACTTGCCTTTGTGTCACTTTCTTCTGCTAACTATTGCAAGATCAAGTTGAAAAATCTCACTCGTCTCATTGGCAGCTAGTTGCAAGAATCCAAACCGTGAATCCAAGCTCAAATTGCATACACTCTTTAGAACACGAGGCTCAATATTGGTCAAAAGTTAAGAACAAATTAAATACAAGCTGGTGCTGAGCTACTGTAATTTTGAACAATCTTTCATCGCAGAAACAAAGAGTTTTTTCCAATCAAGGTGCACTTTTTGTGAATTTTCAAACATGTCTGCAAATAAAGGTTCTCTCCATCACTTTGTCGGCAAGAGAGGCTAGAACACCCTAATAGCAAACAACGACAAATTAAGAACAAAATAAAGACATTTCACAGCTGAACTTCGATTTACTGGTTTTTAGATGTGAAAGCTGAAAGATGTGAAAGTCCAAACTCATTTCTCAGTGTTTCAAACTCAACTGCGTATCTTATCTCAATATTCTTTTGTGGAAAAATGTGTTTATATATTGGCCAAGCCATCGCCAACTTAAAAATCTTGGTTACGACACCGAAAAAGTCCAAACTACGATACTTTATTAAATTATTAAAATGTTTAAAAGTTAGAGCCATGATGCTTTTTCTAAAATTTTATCACCGACGATTAGTGACGAGAACTTTCGGGTATTTGAATTTACCGCCTTTTTCCACAAGAAATTCCAGCGTCTGTAATAATAATCCAATTCAACTTTTTTCATGATTTGTATCCACGCCAGAACAATCAAAGCTCTTGCTGTCTGGTTTGGAATTTGCCTGAAAGAAGCAGTCAGCCATCACGATAATAACATTTCGTTTAAAAGTCCACAAAGATACTTAGCAAGAGGTTTTATTTATGTATCCTAGTACTTGCTGTGCCAGAAGAAACCAACCGGGGCCATAATCTTAACTAGGTGTCCATTTACAGGGTCCGTGTTTGCGTGATGCAGAACTTAGGCCAAGAGCAATTTTCTGTCTCGATGTACAGGTCGTCTCTAGGTCGGTCATGTAAGATAAAGTGATTTAAAGGTTGCATTGTGCAGAGTGATGCTAGCGGAGAAATGGATTCAGTTAAGCACAAGAATACCTTTAGCTGGATTGTGAGGCGGGAGTACCAAGCTGTGAGTATAAACCAACATCAGATTTTTTCAAATTTCTTTTCAAGGCCCTTTGACGAGGGCAGACAAACCGGCTCTGCAGATATATTTTTATTGCAAGTTGAAAAAAACAGGTTTCTTAAAGTTGTAAATTTGTAACTGCAACCTCTTGTGCGATCAAAGAAATGAGTTATTTAGTATTTGGCATAATGCACAAAGTACACATTCAAATTAAATTCAGTTAAGATATCCTAAAATATTCGTACAACACTATGCTCAAAATAAACATTTACTGGTCATGAGCAATCTTAAAAGAACAATTGAGCTTTTTACTATTTATTAGACATTTGGATAACACACAACATAAAGCTGGTTTGATACTAGTTATATTATGTCAAAATAAGATGTATAGGGAAGGTTGTGTGATCATTTGTATTTTGTACTGCCTAGCTTCTAAAGGTAGCTCTTAGTACACTGAGAACCAATGCTTATTGAGCAGTCTCCTGGTCCTTCATCTTGAAGTGACCACACCTTGTGATTGCTAGGCCTGAAAGTTCTCATAGCTGGCAGCTCTCCTAATTCTAAGTTATCTAAGCTGTTTTTAGAACAATGTTTTTTTATATTTCGCATAGGCGTACGGGATGGGGGGCTGGGGGGCTTAAACCCCCCTAGATTTTGGCAGCTGATTTTTTCGGGCAAAATTCGGGCAGGAGCCTTCTCCAAAAACAAAAAGTATAAGAAAAACTACATTTTGAACATGTTTGAAAACCTCTAAGATGAAAAAATCAAGTGTTCATAATCGTGAGCGCTTTCAGCAGTTATAGAATAATGTAAAAATCTGTTGGGTGAGAAAAAAACAGTAAAAAGGAACAAGAAGAACAACACCTCAAATAGTGCTCGAAAAGATTGCTGAAGAAGTAAAAGAAAGCAGCTATTATGCTCTCATAATTGATGAAACATCTGACTTTCGTAGGCACGAACAAATGTCAGTTTGTGTCAGTTTTTCACTAATTGGTGTCCGAGAGCAAGAAGATAACATTCAATGGTGTAGAGCATGTCAAACACAATAGAAAAATATAAAAATGAGAATTTTTCTCTCGTTAGCTAGGGGGGACTGAGTTTTAAAGCTTCAGTTGAAGAACTCTTAAAGTTTTCAAAAGTTTTTGAACTTGAGCAAAGCTTTTAAGATCTGGACGTTAATGCACCCTTTTGGTTGAGGGTCCTTCGTTATCAAACTAAGGCAATGTTTTCAAACACTGTGTCATGACACACTAGCATGCCTTGAGGTATAGCCTAGTGTGCTGTGGAAAATTCTCCAATACATAACTTCCCGCAAATAATGTGCCGTAGATAAAAAGGTTGAAAAAGCTGAATCAAGGTGCCCTTTACTGCGTTAGTGTGAAGTTTTAAAAATGCTTATTAGCTAACATTATTTTAATCATTTCTTGACTAATATTAGAAGCTCACATGTGTTAGAGGATACTCCGTAAAAATTTGGGCACTATTTTTCGGTAAAAATATTCCAGTCCCTTGTACGCCTATATTACCTGCACTCACCTTGTACACCTATGAAATTATGTGTCACCAGGCATATAGAAGTTTTAACCTCAAATTGGCTGGGGTATCTGTAAATGTCACCTTGCCTAGAACTGAACCTTGATATTCATGATTAATTATCTGTCCAGGACTTAGCTACATATACATCTGTATGGGTTGTCATTCCAAAGGGTATTCTTTTTCATTAAGTATGATATATTCCAAAGGGAATATTATTTTGCAAGATTTCATAATATACATGTGTACAGGAGTATACTATTTTTGCCTGATTCAACATTCAGTGGCAATGCCACAACTCAGCAACACAAGAAAGTCACTGTAAGCTAGTTCAGCGGATAAAGTAAGGGTTTATGTAAGAATTTATTAATAAGAATTATATATTAATAAAGTAAGAATTTTTTGAGTTACATGTTTTTTCAATTTTGTATTAATAGTTTCTGAAGTAAGCTGGTATTCACAAATAAAGTCCATGCAGGCACAAGGAAAAAATATATGTTCTATTTTAGACACTCGCATAAATGTTACTAGCCATTTATGCTGTTTCTAATTTGCATAGGAGCCTGACCAAGACATTTTGAGAGACAACCAGCCTTGTATGAACACCTTTAGAGTGTTGCTGAAATATATTCTTTCAAACAGGTATTAATGGTGCAGTGGTATTAAAGGCACCACATACATAGAGAAACATTATAATGTATCTAATTAAATATGATGTTTATTTATTTGTCACATCAAGATATATTTATATTTTTTCATGTATATTAATCCTGTAAAATATTAATGGTCTTAAATTTTTTGCAGAACTCGATCCATAAGCTGTTCCAAAGAGCCCTTCATGTAACACCAAATTTTGCTGATAGACTTGGTCTTGTCAAAGAGCTAGAGGTCAGTACGATACAACGCTACTATTTAGCAGGCTGTTTGTAGAGTAAAAAATTTGTAGAAAATTGCCTTTAGAATCAATTACACATATACATTATATATCCACATTTTACAAGCAGCACAAAATGTTTATTGACCGTTTGTCACAACTTTTTGTAAAATGCATGCAAAGTCAATGTACTGAGTTTTGTAATATTGGAATAAAGCAGTACTAAAAGCATCCAGGTAATACTGTATAAATAATTTTTATCTGATGATTGTGTTCAGGTGTGAGATTTGAGCTGCATCTTAGAAATGCATATATGTTACTTCTACATAAAGTACATAGCTGGAACCAACCAGCTCCTTTCTAGCCAACAATATCCAGTCCTAACAATGTCATATTTTGCTGGTTGAAAAAACTTAAATGTGTATAGAACGTTTTCTATAAGCTTTGCTCCCACACTTTTAGTAATGTTTCTTTTGTTTGGGGAATTAATTATATTGCAGTAGTAATTAGGTTTACCATAGAACAAGCTTTATGTTGGCAGCAAATAAAAATGAATATTTGGTTGAATCTTCCTTTTGTTCAACTCTTTCTTAAATTGTACTGACATCAATCCAGTTCTTGCTAGTAAAGTTTTCATTTAAGGTTTCGTAGCTCGAGTCTCTTTGACTAATTATCCATTACAGTCACACTTTTTAATTGTGTAACCTGTATTGATATTAAGTCATTTTTTGCAGACATGAATAAAAGTAAACTTTCAGCAGAATGCCATGATTGTTTACTTGATAACTTATTGCTTACAATAAATGCAGCCCTTTCGTGAGATGGCATTCATCCAAGCAACGTGATTATATTTGTGCTCTTCAATCGGCACATGTGATATTTTACCTGTGTTATATGCAGCTGTTTTTAGTTTTGTTGTAGTACAAGATCAGAAACAGTGTTGACGTCAGAAACACGTTGCATCGATGACCGTTTTCTTTTCTCGATTCCAAGGCTAAACAGACCACTTAATGAACTACACAGTAAAATTTCCAACATTTCTCCATAGAAATCGCGCTTTTTTTGTTGCAATTCAAATTCTTTCGCACATTTTGCGATATTTCTTCACTTTCTTAATTCAAAACGTTGCTCTGATGTTGATATATACAGAATGAAAACCATCGCATCTGCGCAGATCTCAGAAAGCATGGTGTAGGAAAGCCAATAAAATAGAAGCACAAATAGGCCAACTTTTACTTAGCTGTTTCAGTGCAGTAGCAACATCTAAATCTGTATGACTGCCGAACCGATTTGTTAATTTTCATTTTTCCTTTCAAGGGACATTCAGGCTGTGTGAACTGCCTCGAGTGGAGCGACGATGGGTCGTAAGTCATTCTTATTTATTTTTAGAAATTAAAAACCCAATGCAACCTCATATTATTTTTCTAATAGCCTTTTTGAAAATGACTTAAACTATGGTAATGATATTACCAGAATTTTAAAGCCTTTTGCAGCCTCTCTGGTCATTCAAAAATTGGTATTGGGCAATTAATATAGAAGTATGCGAAAGGTATACGGGCGTATTGTTCCCTGCAGTGATTTACGGACAGAGAATGTTACAAATCTAGAATTCCGAGTTATTATCCTTAAGCTTTGGTGAACAAAATATGAACCGCATTTTTCATCTTCTAATCTTCTCAGGACATGTCGGTACTGGGTACTGTCTTTCACTCATCTTGGCTACAAGTGAATCTGTTCAAAAGGGAAACTGAACTGACTTATAACAGGGTCCCCCTTGTAGAAATTTCACCGACAGAACACAGGGTTTAAGTATCAACTATAAGTTCGATGTTCCTCTAGCAGCATCAATCTAGCACCAAACTGTGTATCATTTCATTGAAAGAGATGGCATAGTTTTATTTCCTTCCGATGAATTAGCTTTCATTCAAATTTTTTTCTGCATTTAAAAACCTATACTCATTATTGTCGTATTAAGTAATGGTTAAAGAGCTTAAATTTCGGTCAGTTAACTATTAATAAACAGCATATTTGTCCTGTATGACCTGCACCTTCTTGCAAAATGCCACCAGCGACTAAACATCCTATGATTTCTTTGTGTTTCGTAATTGGCTCAGACAGAAATGTGATTTGCATTTTATGCTCTTACCAACGAAGATATTCAGGACTGTGGTATCATTTGCGTCAAACAGGCCTTTGTTTAAATTTCTAAAAGGTCAAACTTGCACGATTTTTCCAAGTTTGAAATTGTGTACACAGTCAACTTTGACTACCTACACTGATGAGTTCTTTAAACCTTCAGTTTTTTATAGGCTGTTAATTTGAGCTTTCTTTATCAAACAGGTTAGCGATTGTGTATCTTGTTTGGGGTTGATTAATTTATACTCGTGACAATTTACAATAGGCACATTATAGACAGATACCATCGGAAGCATAAAAGTACATAGAAACTCTTTGTCCATTAATAATTTGCTGCCATTAAAATATAGTCTGTCCCAGGTTTATGCAGAAAAATCATACTATGTTTTGTGCCTATGATCAGAGGGGCGATGAAACGCCCGAGATCAGGTAAATTTATGAAAAACCTTAAAAAGTAACAGTAAGATATGGCTATACACGGTCACGCGAAGAGGTTCTCTGCTTCTTCGAAGAGGCTGCATGATGCCTTTTCGCATTGGTCACGTGTCTCTGTTGGAACAAGAAGTAACCTTCGCATGCAGGGTCAGTCGTGCAAGGTCTCCTTTCTCGCAACTTGTTTAGGCCTAATTAATACCTTGCAAGTAATAGCATTTCGTTGCATAACTGTGATGTAAGACTCTCGTGACTTCATTCACGGCATCATACCAAATCTCTCTGTTGACGTCATTCGAAGGTTGCCTGGTGGATTATCGGTGTTGTCTGGATTTGGCAGCATTGTCCGTTGGTCTTTTTTTCTGTCACGAAACTGGCCTTATTGTCGGATCTCTTAGTTGCCCGACGAATGTAAGCTGTGCAGAGACATGCTGCAATTAAGCAAATAGATATACCGTAAATCCTCGAATTATTCATTTTTGATATTTTTGGATGGGGGCTTATTCTTATTCAATCGAATTATTTAATTAATTACTACCAAAAGTATGAATTTGTTGTGGTAATTCAATATAACGCCATAGACAACCTCAGATGGCAAAATTCATCAAATGGAGGGGTCCAATTCGAAAACTTACGGTAGCAGTGGGGGCTTATTCGAGGGGGGGGTTGGGGGGGCTTATTGACAAGTTTGTAGTTCTAGGGTGGAGGCTTATTCGAGGGGGGGGGGGCAATTCGAGGATTTACGGTAGATACCAGCCTGTTCTAATTGTGTTATTACGTTTTGATGATTTTTAAAGATTTAATCATTGAGGTTCTTACTTTGGAATACACTGTTTTGATAAGGAACTTGATTAAAGGAACCAGCCTTCAGGGTTCTTGAAATTCTGAGTCTTCATCCCTTCAAGTTTAAATAAAGTTACAAGAAAGTTGTATCCTGGTTGAATGTTTTCATGCCTGACTTGGTGAGAAATATCGCCTACCAAAATGACAGTATGGCGCCTTTTTAATTGCAAGTAGCACGGTTTATGATTCAGAATAGTTTCAACAGAGATCAAGGTTGCAGATTAACAGAAAGTGAAGTATAGTTGCTTGACCTTAGATTGACTTCATGTTTAGCAGTCACAAAGTCAAAATTATATGGACAAATTTATTGCGATAGAAAAAATATTATTTGCTACAAAATGTGCAAGAAGAAGATATCAAAAACTTCCATAGGCCTTGATGTAGTTTCCTTTAGATTTCTTAGACTTACCACGTTTCACGAAATAAACGTTTCACGATATTTTGGTTTGTGTTTGTGATTTTCACAGTTTGTCTGCCCAGGGTAATTTTCGTCACGTACACTCTTTTTTTTATAAGAACAATTTTATAAGAACACGAGCCCCAAAATGGGTCAAAATTTAAGAACAAATTAAGAACAAGCTGAGGCTGAGCTACTGTAAAATGAAATTTTGAACAACGTTTTATCTCAAAAACGAGGATTTTCAGCCATGTGTGGGTGCTTTTTCGATAAATATTAAAACATGGCGGCAAATTAAGTTTGTCTCTACGCACTTTGTTGGCAAAAGAGGCCTGAACACCTCCCCAGAACGAAAAGCTAGAAATCGCACTGCTTATACCCTATAAATTTTAAAACAAATTAAGAACAATCCAGCCTTGGATTTTCGGAAAAATTAAGAACAATCAGCCTGAACTCAAATTTACTGGTTCTTATAAAAAAAAGAGTGTATATATTCACTTCTGACATTTCAACGATATTTATTTTCACCATACGATTTTTCTATAAAATTTTTCTCTCTTTTAGACTACTCGTGTCTGGATCAGACGATTTCAATATAATTGTCTGGGAAGCGCTAAAATACAGACTGGGATGTAAAATCAATTCTGGCCACTCAGGCAACATTTTTTCAGTCAAGGTAGATGATTTAAACTTAAAGGCATTTTCATCTAGAGCTTTATCTGGAAGGCTGTTCCGTAATTTTTTTCTTCTTGAATTTGCCTTGAAGCCGTTATGCCAGGACAGCCAAAAAAGATAGCCAGAACATTTTTCTTAATTTTCTTGAGATTCTGATTTTACTTGAGAAGGCTGGTTGGTAAATGCTGTGTTCAAGAGATTTATCAGGTCATCTTGAGAGGTAGATCAAGAATAGATTATTCTCCTGGTTGATTTTGGTTGAAAATCGCAAGAAAATCATCCATAAAGGCTGATTTCCACGAGGCGAATTTCGCACCGAATTCGCTACGAATTCGCTTCGAAATTGTCTTTGATTTCCACGAGACTGCGAATTCGCTGCGAAATTATATAATAATTTCCGCCAAAACTCAACTTTAAGGTGCCCATTTTCAGAACTGCACGCATGGCGAATGTTCCAAGATTGTTTTTTTACAAATCAAGCAAATTTGCCATGCTTTGACTGGTTATTAGGTGCTGCGAAATATTTCGCCGAGAAAAAGTAGAACTCTTTTCTACTTTCTTGCGAATTCGCTGCGAAATCAAAAATCAAAACTGCGCATGCCTTGATGCCTTCATCAGCGATTTCGCCGCGAAATTCGCCTCGTGGAAATCAGCCTTAGGAGATGCTAAAGCTACGATATATTCATAATGGACATAAAGAACGACTTTATAGGGTTGATGATTTCATGTATAGTAACTGATATATGTTGCACGGCATCGAAAACTATACAAAAGATTGGTAAAAGAGAAATTTTTATTTCAAATATCATAACGAGGTTGTACCGAACCAGGGAACACCTTTACCGAATTGTTGCAGGATCGTTATTTGTACCAGATTGCCAAAGCACACAATCGCTTGTGTATAAATCGCAAAATTTTTTCACTCTCCCATAATCAACAACAAAACTGAACACGATATAACGAAAATTTACGGCCTAAAATCTACTAGGTCTGATGTACTCTGCAAAGTGGTGCAATGAAACGAACATAACATAGTTTTAGGGAACAACTGCATTGGTTCAAGGGTATGTTATGCAGAAAGCATTTCAAGGGACCAGGTTTTTTGTTCATAGTAGCACAAAATTCGTTATGAGCGGGTTTGTGATGGCGGCATTCCGCTTTAGCACTACTCCTACACACATAATTAGAATTAGAACTACTGCGGTAGAAGTTATGATTGGGCGCTTTGAATATATTTAAATATGATTCTGTTAAAAGGTATTTGTAATGGCTTGTTTATTTAGGCCGTTTGTGAATCGTTAGCTTCCTTTTAGCCTGATGGTGAAAAATGTACATGTATGTTAATTTTTTGTAGTTCTTACCTCATTCGAATAACACAATTGTTGCTTCGGGAGCTGCCGATGCAAAGGTGCGAATTCACAACGTTAGCTCGCGGGAATCCACGCAGGTTTACGCGTGTCACTTTCATCGCGTGAAACGCCTAGCTGTCACACCGCATATGCCATATATGCTTTGGAGTGGCTCCGAAGATGGCACTGTTCGGTAAGTTAAGTGAATTTCCATTTCTTCAGCTATAATAATAATAATGATAATAATAATAAATAATAATAAATAATTTGTTTAAAGTTGGCTTACTAAATGAACGGCTGATAGCTATAAAGAAGCTAATTAAGGCCAACTATCTATAAAGAGTTAGTATGAAATAAAAATATATGATACAATATTAAAAAGGTTTAAGGTATAATGTTCTAAATAAAACCTAACCCAGCAATAAATTTTTTATACAATCTACAGTCGCATTCTATAATTCTTTTTTAAATGTTGCCAATGATTGGAACTCTCTTATACTGTGAGGTAGTGTTTGCCACAGTTTTTGACCTAAATATCTCACAGTTTCTATACCATAAAAAGTTGTCCTGGCTTTTGGAATGCAACGATTATTTTTAAGCTAGTTAAAGGAATTCGCGAGCACATTATTTTGAAAAGTCGTAAAAAGTTGCTCTTTGGATTGCATTGTGGAAAACGCTATACAACAGTTCTAAGCCCAATAAAATCACATTTTACTATGAATGGCATATTTCTGCTGTTAGGTTCATGTTTATTTTTGTTGTGTTCAAAATCGTTGAATTTGCCCGAAGTGGGCAATGCTCTAGACGTCTAAAGCCTGATTTACACGAAACGAATTTTTTCGTGCGAAGGGAATTTCTCGCTGCGAATGCGCGAAAAATATGCGCCAATGTAGGGATTAGAAGATCACATATATTTTATTTATCATATTTAAACACAGAAACCCTATCATATACTAAGTCCAAAAAATTAAAGATTAATTTACATATAATCCTGGTCTTCCTAGGGATCGTGCTTCGGGAAAAGATGCTAATTTTGCAGGAATTCCTTTAATTTCTTTTCAACGTGGTAATCGTGGAGCTCATTCTTATTTGTAATGGTATTTCGTTCCACGTCTGTGCACCACAATAGAAAAAACTCCTTTTAGAGAATTCTAGGTTTTGCCTTGGGATGTCTATGTGAAGATTCTCTGCGAATTCACAGCAAATTATTCGCTTCGCGAAAAGGAGAGACCATTCCAATTTTTTCGTTACGGAATTGTAAAATAAAATCAATAAGAACAGCATTTACAAACAGCTGACTGCCTTTTTTCGTTCCTGATGGCCTACGTCTTTTCGCATTTGTTATTCACGTCAATGAAGTAAGTTCGTAATTATCTATTTCCTCGTACACGCCCCATTTAGGTGGATGCAGGTCAAATTATTATTCAAACCACTGTCAATAGAAAAAACTTTTTCTATTGCCTAGGTTCAAACATTTGCATGTCAAAGAGACGAAATTAGCTTCATAGCTCAATCGTTCTATCAAAATGTCTAAAAGAAATGATCGGCAAGAATTTCTTCAAAACCGTTAAAATGTTGGCTCCTTATTTTCCTGCTCAACAGCAACCGTTTTAGTCATAAAAGACTCAAGATCTGTTTGATGCAGATGCACCAATAGGTTCTTACGTATTTGTGCATGTTTGATGGGTTTGCAGAAGTATTCCTGGTCATGTAACCGTTAATCTCTTACGGAAAGATGAAACTTCCCCCTCTGAAGACATCCTAAATAAATTTTTCTAACTAGGAATTACAATTTTGCTCTTTTACTTGCTTTTGCGATAAGATTAACTTTGAAGTTTTAAGCTTTGTAATAACAACACACTTTGAAAAGTTGCCATATTCGTTTGCATTACCTGCAGCAAATTCGAATTAATATTTCTGCCAGTTGAAATTGAACTTTGAATTTGAGAGGAAAATTCGCAGCCAAAAAGGTCCTGGCGAGAATTTCGCTTCGCGTGAAAAATTCGTATCGTGTGAATCAGGCCTAAGAACGGAACAAACGCCTGGATTGTAGGTTAAATGTCAGCAAATTTACCAAATATGTTGACAACCTTTTTCAAATTATTTGATAAAATGCTACACAATCAATTTTATGACAAAATCTAGAGAATCAATTGTTTATCTATAAGCAGTTCGAAACCTTTTCTTGCGTACGAGACCATTCTTTGCTTTGTGTTAATATTTTATTAAAAGTATTGAGAACATCATTATTTGTTTACTCACAAATGTACCAATCGTTACCTTGTAGGCAGTTCGACCTCCGTCAGCCGCATTCTTGTGCACAGAACAGCCGTTGCTCCAATATAATAATCAACTTAAATACTCATGTAGCGACTTCTAGTGAGGCGAAATGTATCGCCATTAACCCATTACGGCCAGAGCTAATCGCTGTTGGTTCCAGCGATCCGTTCACTCGTATTTACGACACGCGAATGCTGACGTTACATAGCATACATGACGCGCGTGGCAAGAGTAACGGTCGCAAAGTTGACGAGATCTCGCCGCCTCCTGGCTGCGTTTCGTATTTCTGTCCTGGACACATTCCGCAAAGGTATGGACGCGATCACCCGCAAAAGTATCGACATTACGTTGTGACATATCTTTCTTTCAGCCCCGATGGCCGTGAGATATTGACTAACTTAGGCGGGGAGCATGCTTATCTATTCAATATCAACAATCCTCGCGAGGCGCTGCGTTATTCTGCAGTTCACTCGGGGCATTCAGGAGAAAGAACACAAAGATGTAGCCAACGGAGACCTGAAAACGATAATTCAAATATTGCAGCTAATGAGACGGCCTTTGTTGCACCTGGTACGGCTAGCCAGGTAAATACAGTTACCGAGCCGCAATGTCAAATTGAAGATTCTCAAACATTGTCTGAGAAAGCATTAGAGCTAAAAATCGCAGGAAATGATTGCTTCTCGAAGCAGAATTACTTCCAGGCAGTCATTTGCTACAACCAAGCTTTATCTTTGGCTCCTCACAGTGCGTTGCTGTACGCGAACCGGGCTGCCGCGTTATTGAAAAGAGGCTGGTAAGGGCTCTTCCTTGTTGTGTTTGAATTTGAATTTAAAAGCTAAGAAAAATTGTAAAGCTGTAAAGTTTTATTTTCTCTGTTGTAAGTTAAACATAGTTCAGTTGAATTCACAAATATAATTTAGCAAATTATATCCCATAAAATTGATAAACTTTAGCTGTCTCAATTCTGCTCGCCATAATGATCGAAAATTTGATCGTACGTCTGAATTTAAAAGCAGAATATAGCAAAATTTCCTAGCTTAAAAATTTATTAGCATCATTAATTTTGATGTAACAATAAACAGAGATATTTAAATTGAAAATCACTGCCAATTACACAGTTCAACCATATGTGATGGTCCTTCTTTCCGGTCTAATTATCAATATTATTCTGCGGAAAGGGCTACAGAATTGGCAACAATCAGTGAATTTAATTAACATGTAAAACGGAGAGACAATTGTTGATATTATACAGTAGTAACCTGATTTATGTTAATTGATAATGATCTATTAAACATAATCATCATCACTGCAGGGAAGGTGACATCTACGCTGCTTTATCAGACTGTCACATGGCTCTCAGCCTCGATCCGGATCACAGCAAGGCCCATTACCGTCAAGCTCGTTGTTTATACGAGTTGGAATGGTATCAAGAGGCGATGAATTGTTTAAACGATTTCAAGAACAAGTTTCCAGAGCAGGCGGATGGGTTTTCCACCAAGAAATTGGAGAGGGATATCAGAACTTCAGCTGTCAACGATAGTGAAGGTAGGCGTCTAATTTAATGTACTGATTCCGTATTGGGCCCTTGTTGTTGATAGTTTAAAGGCCAAGAAAAAAACTTTCAGTTGCCTGCAAAAATATAAAACCGACATCCACTTCACTTCTTCACGATTGCTTCGTTTTTTACGACTTTTTCTGCCAGAGAGCTGAGCTAATCAAACCAAACAAAGAAGAATATAGTCATGGTGTTTCGAGGCAAACAGCAAACAATTCTTGTCAAGCACGGCAACTGTTCTCTTTCTTACTTCTATCCACGAAGAAAACAAATAAGTTTTATAGGCAAATTTAACGATTTTGACTTGCCTCGACAAGTGAGCCAGCATTAGAAATTAATTTTACCGTAGAAAGGAAGCTTCCGGCTAAGTCTATAAATTTCTCATCTATTAAAACGCTGTGCAAATTTCTCTTACTTTGGGCGTTTTGTTTGCTTTCACAACTCCGAAAACTTGGTTGTGGTTAGATACTGCTCATATTCTTAATATGACATTAAGGCATTGAAAGCAATCAGGTCACAGATGAGAAATTAAGCTGTAATATTTTCTTCCTAGATGTTGAAGAGAACAGCAACAGCAGCGGTTCAAACGTTTCAAAACGCAGAAGACGAAGACCGCACCCCGCGCCATCCGAGGCAGAGCGACTACGCCAAGAGAAAGCGCACGACTATACTCAAAGGTTTGTAGGTGCTTGCAATACAACAACGGATATTAAAGAAGCGATATTTTTCGGACAGAATGGGCAGTTCGTTGTCGCAGGTAGTGATTGCGGATGTATGTTTTTGTGGGACCGCGCGACAACGAATTTAGTAGAAGCATGGCATGGTGATGAATCGATAGTAAACTGTCTTCAGCCGCATCCGTCGGTTTGTCTGCTCGCTACTAGCGGCATCGATCCGGTCGTCCGACTTTGGGCTCCTTTGAACAAAGAGAACGTAATAAAAGATCCTCGCCGCGAGAAGGAACTAGAAAGTCTTGTACGCGCAAATCAAAAGAGAATGAACGCAGATCCACTAGAAGTTATGTTAATGAACATGGGATATCGAGCTAGAATAGAAGAACGGGACGGCGAAAGCGATGACGATTCATCTGAAGCGTCTACCGTGCAATGCCGCACCCACTGAATCTGACCGCGCTTGCAATATGAAATTTATACATCTCACCAATATCTAGTATACTTGGGCTGTGTGACTCAAGTTCAAGTGTCGTACGCGCTGATAGTGACAGCATCTATGCATAACCAAAACGTGCAACAACGATTGTATCTCGGAGTCGTTCTCGTTTATCAACCCCACTTAGGACGAGTCATGATATCAGCCCCGTTGTCAGGGACAACAAGTATATAAAGTGTGTGCGCTGGCTCGGATACACGCTGAACTGAATGAGTATAAAACGCGGCTGGAATAAATGGAAATAAGTATTTTGGAAAACATTTTGATGTTTACTTGTGAATCTGTAAACTAAACGATGCTTCATGGAATAGGCTTTGTTAAGAAAACCATTTATACTGCTTATTTTCAATGTTTTGCTTATAAAAGAGCTACGGTAAAATCCTGCAGTAAAAATCTGCATAAAATTCAAAAAACCTCGAGGTTTGTTTTTTCAATTAAGAAAATTTCAATACAAGAAACGCTATGTAAATATGTTGGAACCATTTCAGTCTGTTACAAAAAACGCTCTCATTAAAAGTGATTATAATAAAGCGAAATAAAGTTTAAAGGTGCCAAATTTTCTTGGCTCTCGGTATACTTTGAGACTTACACAGTAATATGGAATATTTAGGGGGGCGTTCACATCACGTTTAAAACACAAATAAGGAAATATCTTACTCTAGGGTCAACTCAGCGAGATTGCGTTTACACTACAAAATTTTCAGAATGACACAGATACTTTTGGCCAAGATTGCAAGCCTGTATCACAGATTTTAGATGCTTTTTGTATCAAGGCAGTATCTATTAATAGCAGATCAAACTGACCCTGGCATAGCGGGACCGACCCTGATCCAGGCAAGGTCATGTGATTTGCTGTATGCCTTGTGTTTATAATAGAGCGGTAATACTTGCTGAGCGGTAATAAAGCTGTTTTTGTATTCGTTTGAAATGGAAGAATATAATATAGCACTAAATGCCTCTAGACTCGCAAAATCATTAAAGTCTATCATAAAATTGCTTATCATGGTCACTTTGTACATAACATTTTTATCAAGCCCCCCGAAATACTTTTTTATGAAAAGGACGGGCTTTTTTCTAACACAGCCCAAGGCCTGCAGCTTATGTGTAATGTATAACGTTTGCTTACGTCACTATCATACTCTCATAGATAAATTTTCTGCTGAAAATTACATTATAATGCAGAAATGAGGGCACAGTTGCATTAACAGTAGAAGAATGCTCAAAGGAAATTTTTCTGTGAATCTAGTGTTGTGTATTTTTGTGTACAAAAATTTATCATTTGTTAGTGAGTTTATATTAAGAATTCGCTGTATTGTTGTCAACGATAGGTCTCACGTTAAAATGCGAGAAGGAACGCAAGAGTGAACGTGAGAATTAACGCAAGTGTGAGCGCAAGAAGGACCGTAAGAATGAACACGAGATGGAACACAAGAATTAACACAAGTTTGAGCGCAAATAGGAACGTAAGATTGAACACGAGAAGGAAGGCAAGAGTGAGCGCGAGAATTACCCTAAGAATGAACGAAAAAGTGAATGCGAGATGAACACAAGAATAAACACGGGATCGTCGGGAGAACGCGACAAGAAACGTAAGGTTGAACTTGAGAAAAACTTCATGCACGGTAACCATTCATTGATTTATTGGCAAAATTATATTTGAAGAATTTTATTAATTTGATCACAAGTTTTAGTTCTTAACATTTGTTTACCGTGTGTTTATTGCGTGTTTGTCGCGTGTTTGTCGCGTGTTGCGTTAACAATTTCGTAGAAGTATTATGCATAGTATATTATCTGCAAATGCATTTAGTTAATTTTATTTCAATTTTGTAATCTTTTTGTCTGTGGTGATGGTCATTTGAATTTGAAATAATGTAAGAACTGCTAGAATGAGCTAAATATATTGCGATAAAGAAGCGGTTTATTTCTTGCATCGAGCTTATCTCCCTTTATCAACAACATGTTATTATTACCATAACTATCATAATTATTATTGATTCAATTAATATCATAAAATTCGCGAAATCTTACTAGCTAAAATAAAAAAATTACGATGTTGTTTCTAGAATTTGACATTATGTTTATCAGTTCTAGGGCCGTATATGCAATCATTCTCCGGAGGCCCTCTAAAAGTTAGAAATCCTTTCACTTAAATAAAGAATCTCCTTTGTTTCTATTGTTCTAAAACAATGGTTCCTTACCAATAATTCCATCATTCCTACAATACTGGTCGGTTCCCTTTCAAGCTTGCTTTGTTATCTCATAACTGAGAATGCCATTTTATGCAGCTTCCCCTCAAATCAAAATTTTTCCTCAGTCGTTGCCCTCAAGACTCCAAGCTTGCTCACAACAGAAGAAACATTTAGAGGTATTGTAGCCTGATTGATGAATGTCTTTCGCTAGGTTATCTATAGACCTTACCGTTCTCTCCACTCTTAACAGAGTGCCATTCTTTTTAAAGACTCGTTTTAAGTATTCTTAACCATTCATAATGACTTGCCATTCTAAATAACCCATTCTATAGCTTAGGCCCTTATGCTATCGGTAACGAACGTTCTTCTGTCTATATTATCAGTGCCTTTCCTAAAGCCAAGCTCTGTTCGTTGAGCATTTTCTGTTGTCATGAATGCAAATCGCGGGCCACAGCTCAGTGCTCAGCGAAGCTCCTTGCGTACACTGCACATCAAAGTAAGCATACGTTAAGAAGATTCAAGGTTGGAACCCGTTATAAACGTACGCTGAAAAGATTCAAATCAATCGGCAAACAGGAAAAGGTCTTTGAATAACCGAGGCGACCCCCATCTTTGACTCATGGATCATGCGCATGGAACTTGATCATTATTACGCATGCTCTTTTTCTCCAAGACGGGGGCTGCCTTGCACGTGAGCAGCCTCGCTTGTAAGTTGCTACTTTGTGTCTGACACATAATGCGACAAACAAGCTTGTATTATTACAACCCAACATCAAGAGTAAAAAGTGATGGGCCTTTCATTCCTCTAAGATTGTCTCGGAAGACGTCATCCTTTCCAACAATCTCGTCTTGAGATTGTCGTGAGTTCGTTCTTACTTCGTTTGTCTTTAGCTACTATGTAAAAAATTGAAGGTAAATAAACCTCCTTGTCCCCAAAGCTACCCCTTCTATTCTTGTCCAACATCGACTAAGTACCATTGGTTTATATGCAACCAGAGATTGCAATGTTGCGTTATCGGATCGCCTTCTGTTTTTTTCAAGTTTTCAGCTGGAGAAGCCTCTGCTTGGTTCTAGCCTCAGTTTAGGGATACTACAGGAAATGTGAAAAGGAGGCTAAACCGGTTCTTTAGAAAAGATCACGCAGGTTGTCCCGCTATTCAACTGTAACTGTAATGGAACCTGTTAAGAGGCTAGCATTTCCAATCTAGCTACCTTAATCGGTATCTAAAGATCACCTGGTGCTTTCGTGGTTGACTGGGCACGAAAATTTGTCAGTTGCTTTGAGTCCTCCATTTTGAAGTCGCGGTAAATGAAAGCTTTTTGTATCCTTCCAAGATTTTGATATATTTTGCGGAGCTTAACAATAATCTCGGTTACTGCAATGGAATTTTCCCCTGGATAGTGGCGCGTGTGTCGGATCCAAAATGGAGGACATTTTAGAAGAAATTTCGAGAGACTCGACATCAGCAAGGCTGAAACACTTGAAAGAAGCTTGCGTCACTGCTAACGGTATGAAACTTAAAGTTTACTTTCTGACTTGGGAACTAAACTGATCAAAATATGATTTCATTGATTCATTGAAGAACTAAAAGTTTGTTTTAACACTATCATTAACTTTTTACAACAACATAAGGCTTTATTTGCCTTTATCACCTGTACTATAATGATTTACAACTTTTACAATGTGGTTCATTCCACTGATGCTCATTTCACTTATGGCCTAATTTGTGAATTCATCCAAAGCCCCTGATTTTTCAATTGGCTTCAACATTGAACTAAAGTTTATCGAAGGCAGCTCTGAAATTATTAACTTCAAATGCTTTCTTATCTTTCGTAAGAAATAATAACATGGTCATCATCATCGTTTCAATACGTGTCTGTGTCATTTTCATGTTTTACACACGACAAAGTTCGTACATGTGCTGCTCTCTGTAAGATAGTCAATTGTAGTCAATTATTGACAGCTAGTGTGTACAAATATAGTAAGAAAATCACGAACTACTACTGTTTTGATAGAAATGATGAACCATTGCCCTCAGTCTGCCCCAAATCTTCATTAGGTTTCTAGCGGAAGTGAACGTAGTCGTGAAATTTTCAGCTTTGTTTTTTCCCCCACGATGTACATATGCTGCGGCTCTTTTCCAGATAAACGTTATAGTCTGGTCATTGTTTGTTTGGAATTTGCTCAAATTAACAAGAGGGAAAATCTAAGTAACAAACCTATTCATCTACTGTGGTAAACCTGTGCTGTTTTTGTTGTAAAGGGGAGTCGGTAGACGTAATGCAGTTGATGATTTTATACACAAAATGAAATTTAATGTAAAACTTTAGTATATTGGGCTGTTTTAAGCACACTTTAAGAATTTCGTCTTTTCATATGCCCTTCTGACTTGGATATCGACGGTACCAAGAAATCTTTATGCCAAGAAACTTAGGGAAACAAAGAAACCAAGGGTAACACAAAAGTTTGGGTAAATGATAGGACAGCATAGGAAGGTTGAATTTTAGGAAGGTTGAATTTTCATGAGTTCCAAGAGAGATTGGATAAAAATAGGAGATAACAAGGAGGCTTGTTTTACACGAGATTATAGTCAGCTGATTTTGTAAAACCAAAATTGGCCGTAATCTTGCTTATGCAAAAAATTGAATAGGATAATGCTTGGTTAGAGTTTTTTAGAAAAAAATCGCAATTCGTGTTGTTTTTTGAAGCTGCTGTGAAAGAGTGGTCTTGAAGGTTTTTCTTGCCACAAGTGCCTGACCATTTTCTATTCAACAACCATTGTCGGGTCTTTTGCTGAAATTCAATACAAGTAGCTGGTATCGTTTAAATTTTCGAAGGTTCCTGATGATGATCAATTGATCGTTGCGTGTTTTGTGCTCTCCCATGACCCGCTTGCGTTATAAGGTATCTTAATCAACTGCTTGTTTCCGCTAGCGGGATTATATTAGGCAACTTTTTGTTTGTTTGGAAAGACTTGATTTTTTGCAAGAAACTGGCTATGCTTAAACATGCATTCTTGTCTTGTGCCCACGTGACCAAATGTTGATTCGAATTTCAATGTGCCATAAACTGCTGGTTCTTGATAACCGACGGGTAATTAATGCTCCCCCACAGCTCCCTGAGCTCGTAGCATTGCGAAGCATTCTTTTGTACAAAAGTCATTAGCTGATCTTTCAAAATTCTCACAAAGAAAACCTTTTGTTTGAAATACTGCAAGTTATTGAAAAAAAGATAATTATGAAGAAAAAATGTTTGATATATAAGTAATTTAGTTGTAAGGCATTTTCTCTGTCTTATTTAGCGATCAAAAGTAAATATCCTTTCAATCTGCTTTAAATATATATGATATTTTCTACTAGATTACTTATACGAATCAAAGAATGGGAAATCAAGGTTGGAACCGCATGAACTAAGGTAATTTGACGATGCTTTGTCATTCTGTGAGTAACATACATAAAGTACACTTGACAATTACATGAAGTATGCAAACAATCTTTTGGTGGTACAAAACTTGAAAATGGCTTTGAAACTAGTTTTCGATCGATATTTTGACGTTTTAAACTCTGAGAGTGTCAGACGAAAAGCTTTAGTTTACTAAATGTTTGCTTTGATCATTACAATTGGTTTCTTTTTTCTAATCTGACAGAGCAAAAATATATCATCCTAGCATTTGGGTTGAGTACCGATACTTTTCACAATAAGTGTATCCTACTCCGATTCTCTAGATCTTGTGGATGGGATCTTGTAGATGGTTCAAAACTCTTTTTGACGTAGACTATTAAGTATCATGTCATATGCCTCACGGATACTTTTCACAATAAGTGTATCCTACTCCGATTCTCTAGATCTTGTGGATGGGAATTTGTAGATGGTTCAAAACTCTTTTTGGCGTAGACTATTAAGTATCATGTCATATGCCTCACGGAGGATCACATAGTTTTTATCATGATGACAATATTCATCCCCAGCTTTTGTATAATGACTTTGCGATTGCTTTTCCAGGCAACAATGTTTGCTTCCATTCAAATTCGCCCTCGAATCGCGGTCTGCAAAATTGTCAACACTTGCACTAACAGGCTTACAGGTATGTCTTTATAAATCTTCTATATTAGATCTACCCTTATTATCATTTACACTTTCCATAACTCCTGTTTCTCTAAGGCACTGCCAATGTCAAAATCCTTACTGGATCAGTTTTGTCAACTTATATGCTCCAAATCCTTTCTAGCAAAGCAGTGGAAAACAGACTCGTTACCATACAATTAACGCCAAAAATTTCGGACGTTTATTTTCTCGGACACATACAGAATGTTTTGTTATCCTGAACTTGTTACTGTCCGAAATGGTCTGCACTATAGAAAACTCATAGAAACGTCATTAATTATTTTAAAATGAAATTCCTGCTCACAATCACTTGGCATATGAAGGGAACTTTTTGTAAGAAGTGTAGTGATATACAGTACCATATCTTGTTAACTAAATTAATTGGCAATCACAATACATCAACATCATCCTCGACAATTTCTGTATCGTCCTCTGGCATACTTTCAACAAACTTGAAGTCAATTGCCTATCCAAGTTAATTCTTCGCTCCAGTGCACTCTTCTGCTACCGCACACTTATAACAACAAGAAATATTTGTTAATAAACGTAAGCTGATGGATGCATGAAAACTTGAGAGCTGCAGAGCCATGCACCCAGTTGGATACCCTTGGTACCAGGGCCACGGTAAAAGAGACACCCTTGGTACCAGTGGCTTCCAATTATCGACCCTTATCGACCAAGTCTTTCACTAAGTCCGTGGCACCCAGGGTACCAGTTGGAGTGCTTTTATTTTGCAGATTAATTGCACATAGATAGATAGCTGTCGGAAGGTTTGCATGCATTCATATAACTTACAGCGCTTTAAAAGTATTAATGATTGAAAGATTTGGTTTGAAATGTTTAACAGCAGGAAACAAGGAATAACAGCATATCTGTATTGATAATCTGATATGGAAGATAAGTGAAATGTGATTTTTGATCAGATGTGTAATTATTCATGTTTGTTTAATTGAATGTTGATTATGTATTGATGAGGGAAGATATAGATGTTGATTTTTATTGTGATTAGTTGTCAAAATCTACGAGGAGTAATTATACACCCTCCGGTTTGCGGTGGAGAAAACTCAAACTGGTCTGAAGCGGCATGAAGATTTTAGAGAAAAGGGATTAAAAATTCACAGATTTAACTCTTAGAAAGAAGGGGGGGGGCTGAAGATAAAGAGTCAGGACTTGTTTCGGTTGTCAAGTATTAATCAGTGTTGCTAACGGCTTGTAGGAAATTCAACACAAGAATGCATTTGCTAACTTATTGTAAGCTCTAAAATGAAACTATTGTATGTAGAACTTGAGTCTTTACGCCAGTCAATAACCAAAGAAAACTGCCAGGCAATAAACGTTTGCCTTCTCGGGAAGATATATCAAAAATTGTATATCATTTGAATAGTACTAGGTCACTGGGCATTTAACTTTTACTCAATTATTTTTCTTGATTTTTCAAGCTTATCGTTTTATTATTGCAGAAACTAATGTCAGATGACAGGTTTCGCTCCACCGGCGAGGAAGGGATTGACTACCAACTCCCTGTTCAGTTCTTAAACACGATTATAGCCACACCAACGTTTTCTGATGATATCCAAATGGAAATAATGAAGGTAAAATCTGCTTCATAAATTTTATTCAAAAAACTATTATACGTAAAAAAACCTTCTCACATACTTACAGTTAAAAACCTTCTACAAAGGTCAACCAAGCTCTAACCGAACTTTTCAAGTGTAAAGTCAACCATTCTCTACACTCCCTCTTGAAGCAATGTTTATTTAGTAAAGATTATTGATGCGGGAGCTTAGAAAGTAACCCAATTCTTTATGTGGTACAGAAATTTAAAATGGCTTTGAGAAAAGCAAACAGGAAGGGATGTTTTGAAACATATTACGAAAGCTTTTCGTCTGGCACTCTTCAGAGTATACAATGTCAGAACATAGATCGAAATCTTTATATGGTATTTGATTGCTCTTAAACCAATATAATATAATTGTCCCCATGAAGATCAGCACGAGTGTCTTTACCTTTTCTTAAATGAAAGAATAGTTCGTTTTCACCCTTTGTAACATTTTCTATAGGCAAGTGGCATTGTCAGGGCAACTTTAAAAGTCAGGAGTTTGCATTTTTGATTGGCCTGTTTCGATCCTAAACTTGGTATTTATAGGGTATATATATTTCCTAGCATAAATATTTTCTGTCATTGTTCTGACGTTGTAGACAAGTAAGTGTGTTTACCTAAGTATGTTTGAAAATGGTCACTTTTATACTATTTTCTAATTATTTTCTATTTTCAAAGCTATTTTCGAATTATGCTCTTCAAAAATTGTTTATTCTTAGTAGGTGAAATGAAGAGATTCTTAAACAATATCTTATTTCCGTTGAGTAGTATCGTGAAGTCGTCAACAGACTCAGGGTCAACTCAAACTGATACAGGGACAGATTTCTTATCAAACTGAAAGCCTTATTTTAATTTGACGTATTTGTAAAAATGTCTTTAATCTTTGCAGCTGTTATTGATCATTACCTGTTCTGCATCATGTGAAATTCATGGTGAATATTTGATCGACATTGCAGAGGTAAGTCTGCATAAACCTTTTTTCAACCTGTTATTTAAATCTATGAATGCTTAAATTAGAAAAAGTTGAAGGCTAGTACTGCGTCAGATATTTAAGAATGATTCCGGTTAAAGAGTTAAAACTTTTAAAGAATGGAAAAACACAAAATTGTGTCAAAAGGAGGAAAGAGTTAGAAATAAATCAAATATATATTTGTGACTTATTTTCTTTTACTACATATTTACTTAATGGCAAATTAGGTCTTACATTTGCAGAAGTTTTTTATCTGTTTCTGGAGCCGGGTCGTTTTATTTTCCTTTGTAGATATGCCTAGAAACATTTATCCGCTCGCATCAAAGTGCAACAAAGGCAGCATGCAGAGCTACTCTTACTCAAATGCTTACCTCTGTATGCCAAAGACTACAAGACAGCTTGGTATGCTTTTGAAGAAATTTACTTTCATTTTTTAAATTCAGCTGAACAGCTTCTTCTTTGTTAGATAGATTCGTTTTGTCATATTCATAAAGCTTCAAAAAATAGGCCTAATTTAGAGTTAATGCATGTGAGGCTGGCTCTGTGGTTAGGGTCTTGGACTATAAATCCAAGGGTCAAGGGTTCGACTCCCTGACATCACCCAACTTTTACTGAGAGTGAAGAGGGTCGTCAGCTCTCTGTATTTTCAGGAGTAGGAATCATAAGGTGTGGTCACATCGGGAGAAAGGTCAAGGACATTGGTCGATACGCACAGTTTCTCAGTGGCAATGTCAAATACATATCATATGTTATGTAATCTTAGAGTAAGTTAGGGAAATGCTTCAATTAGGAGCCTGTTTGTATTTCATATATAAGAAACAGCAGAGGATTTTCTGTTATCGTTCGCTGCCTCAGCACAACCCTAGTACCTATAGTCTTCACAGTCCTTAATTAAAATAAGAAAGATGGAGCCTATGGGAGTGTAAAATCTTTCATGGGAGAGTTTGATTATAATCAAAGACGATTCTGCACGCGATATAAATTAAGGAGACAGGGCTTTCAAACAATTTTTCATGGTTCTGTAATATGATCTTGAAAATATTTCTCACTTATGATGTTATTTTCTGGAAAGTATTCTGCTTGCTAGGCAAGAAATTTTATTCATTCTTATTCAAATTATTTTAATCATGTATTCAATGAAACCAATACCAAAGAGAACCATAAGGTAGACATTGTTGCTTTCAGTTGTTACAGCTAAGAAAATGGCAACATAGTGTTTTAGAGTAAATTGAAATTGGCAAATTAGTATTTTAAAAATGAACTGTCGCCTTGAAGTCTTAATCACTATGAAAACTGATTAGTATTTTTTCCGTATTTCAGGTGCCCAAGGGACCGGAATCAGAATCTAGATTAAAAAGTATTCATTCTCATCTTGATATTTTTATATCTTATAGTTTAGACACATTTTTTTATTTTTGTCATACACGAATAGACATTAAAAATATTGCACTGGTAAAATTGATTGTCTAATCTGACAATCAGAAGTTTAAAATGAATTCCCCTTTTAAAATAGCACTTAATATTGCAAGAATACTGTATTTATATTGTTAAGTATTGTATAAAGCTGTTTGATTATTAAAAGTCGCTATAGTATTACTGTTTACAGTATTTCTCAATATATTGAAAATTTCAATCATTTTGAGTGTTAACCTCCAAATAGTACAAAAACTTTTTTGCTTTGAGCAATCCCATTCAACTCTCGATTATTTCTGAAGTTCCTTGGAAGGGCTACTCCAGAAATTCATAGTCATTATCCTTTCCTTTTAGAAAAGGAGCTAATTTTGACCGATGCTAGCAAAGTGCTTAGCCAAGACACTGTACTGCTGCTCAAACATTTCAGCACTGGAATTCAAAATGCAAATAGGTACAATTTTTTCTACAAAATATTTTTTGCAAAAATAAGATTTTTTTAATTAATAATTTATAAGAGTGTTTCTTTTAACATGTGCTAAAGCTAGATTTGTGTAAAATTCTTGCTATGGTATTTTTTTTGCCAGAAAGATGGAAAAACATTATTAGAAGTTCTGAACTATACTCAGCATAATGTTTCTTTATAAGCTGTAAGCTGCAAATAGGATTTCTAGAGAAAAGAAGTTTTATTCCAAAGACTTTTTATTTGTTGTCTCCAGTACTTTAATTCAAATTCTGACGGTCCTATATGTAACTTTCTACTTTTGTCTCTATCCGCAGTGGGTCGCAACCTGGCCTCGCATTGCCGCTGTATCTCGAGGCAGTCCAAGTTATGTTATGTAAGCTTTCGACAGCTGTGCAGCAAGACAAAGAATTCATCAACGTAATTTGGTACGACACAAATCATTTGATGTTTGAAAGATTATAACGGGGTCATTCACTGAAGTCTTTTTAAGAAAATCAACCCCCCCCCTACAGGATCGATAACGAACATGAATAAAATTTATTTTGTTTCCACTCTACAATCAGCCACCCTGTATTGTTCCTCTTCTGCCATTACCCAACCTCGTAGACAGAGAAAAGCCAATGTCTTATTTTCTATACAGCAATAAATATGCTTTTCTTTATTTTTTCCAAATGTTTAACTTGTACATGCGAAAAGGTTTTTGTGCCTTGCCATAAAGCAAAGTTTTTTTCATACCCATAATTGCTTAAACTATACCTTTGTCACACAGGCAAGACCTAAGCCCAGCTCTGGTGCAGCTTCTTGGCTCTCCATTATCAGATGTTGGCAAGAAAGGTAAACAACTGGGCTCTGCGTTTACTGACGATGGTCGAGGGGTGCGTGGACCAGGAAAGAATCTTACCCAAATGTCGATAGCTAAAAGTGTATATAACATCGCTGGTGAGCTTGTACGCCTTATCGGTCCATTGGCATCGCTTAGATCTACTCTAGAAGCACTGTTCCATCGAATTATCTTGTATCCACCACCGCAACATCGGATGGACGCCCTACGAGTCATCAAAGAGGTAACAACTTGAGGCCGAGTAACTGATCTTATTACTTCATCTCTTTCATATCCCTTGTAAAGACATTCTGTCATATTTTACTTAGTTCTGTATTTAAGTTGCCTTGCTGGCATTTATACGTTTGACTAACTGAATTAAATAGGTGGCAAGGAAAGGCTTTCACTTTTTATTCAACCTGCGATTCTACTAAAACCTGCGATTCTGCTATCGGGCAGCATTTACTACAAAACCCAGATTGTGCAAAAAACTATAATGGCGACATGTTTCGGATTATTGGTAAAGCCCGATCGTCGTTCCACCTAGCAGTTTTAGAATTTATCTACATAAGCACAAAAAAACCGCTACTGTGTAGACAAAAGGAGTTCGTTTTCACCTTAGGACTCCATTGGTAACATTCTAATAGGCAAGCGGCACTGATTGGTCAACCTTTACAGTCATGTGCTCATGTTTCTGATTGACCTATTTCGATCCACAACTGGGTATATTTTTTTCCTAGCATAGAGTTTTAGATCTATGTTCTGACGTTTAAAACTCTGAAGAGTGTCAGACGAAAAGCTTTAGTTTACTAAATGTTTGCTTTTTTCAAAGCCATTTACAAGTTTTATACCACCAAAAGATTGTTTTTATTCAACCATATTATTTGCTTTCTGAGTTTGGTTTATTATGCCTAGTATAGCTCTTTGTCTTTGAGTGACGTCATTCAGTGTACATACACTATCGATCTTTGATTCTTCAATTTCACTACCGTTTTTTCAGCTGCTTTGCAATCCGCAGAGAGTACTTGATCTCGCAGGACCAACGCAGAATGACCGCGAACCAGGGAGTCCTGAGTCTCCTACTGAACAGAAAAAATCAGACCTTGATCTGTTTAAACTGTGAGTATTATTATACTTGATGCTGGAAATCTCCTCAATTTTGCGTTTTTCTAAGTTATTCTTTCAGCATTGCCAATCTGGGCAGATTTTTGAAGACACGCTGTAATGGCTTTTTAGACTATCAATTTTTCTTGCAGTTGATGTAAAATGCGTCATAAGTTTTATGTCGTTTAGATTTTTCTCATGTTATATTATGTTATATTTCTAAAGCTTCTCTTTTTGAAACAAATAAATGATGTTCTACAGCTCATCGAGTTTTAGAAAAATAGAGATCTGCAAGTAGAATATGTGGTTTTTTTGATTTTGAATAATAAGTCTCTTCTATCTTCTGAAATTTTTTTCAGCTTTTTTGATAATAAGCAGATTTATTCAAACTACCTCATCCATGATTGAAATGGATTTCATGTTTAAATATTTATAGCTTTTTTTGACAATAGCCAACGAAATTCATGCATGCTTTGAAATATGTTTATTACTGTAGAATCATGGATGGCATCCAAGAGGCATCGCACTGTAATGAAGGGTCAGTTTGTAGTGCCAGTGTTGCGTGCACCGTTGCTTTGCTAGGCACGCTAGAAGAGCTGAGTCGTGGAGCTGGTCTTTCAGCTGATCACATTGAAGCCATGGAGAGGATGACCGAACCTGATAATTGGATGGAGATGTACAACACTAGTCAAGGTGTGCACGATATCCTCATTACAAAAAACTACATTCATTCTCGAGCCTTGAATCGACGTATCCCCCCTCCCTGAAAAAACCACCCAAGACATCTGTTTATTTTTTTAAAGCTTCGTGTTTTAAGTGTCTGTAATGTGTATAAAACAAAGCTTGTCGTAGCGCCAAGTAGCAAGAAAAAAAGGGGGAAAACATTATAAAAAATTGAATTTTTTATATACAACTATGAAATGTAAAGGTTTTTTCTATTCTAAATAACCAGAGTCTCATTTCTTTTTCTTCTGTTAACGATTTAAAGAGACTTTTAACCATGCACCCTATTTATTTTTATTTTGGAAATTTTCCATCAGCCCCATTTTTCCAGACCCTCTGTTTATTGAGAATTTGGAAATTTTTCGTTTATCCCAGACTTAAGCTTGCGTTGTAGGTAAAGTTTTGATTGTTCTTTGATCCTGGTTACAATTTTTTGTAAGAGCAAACCAGTGATAATGATACAGTTGTATATGGATCTGTGTTAACCTTACTCTTCTCTATAAGGAGTTATTGCATAAACCCAAAAGTTTTTGCAAACTTCTTATTGTTCTGGCCTTTTGTAAATATAGTGTCGTTTTTTCAAAAAGTGGACTTTTAGTTTAAAATCTTAATTGAAAGAAATTGGCTCTATGAAAATTCGAAAAGGTATTGAATGAACAAGAGGAGATGATAAACGCTAGTCCAAAGATTATGATATGTGCTTTTGTGAGAATAAAATGTAAACAGGACCAAATGAAATAAAACTTTTATTTAGAGTTTAGATTCCGTAGATATGATAAATTGCTTTGAAACTTGTCTTGACAAGAAATGTGGTATCCAATCTGTGAATCTGCGCAAGGCAAGCCAGTTTGTCTGATCATGATTTATGATGATTTATGACAGATGATAATGCGGCTTCGGCGAGACAACCAGCTTTGATCAGTGGAAACCTGGAAGATACTGACGAAGAAGAAGAAGATGAGGAGGGACACCGGAAAATGAAGCCGAAACACATCAGATGGCAATTGGAAGACGAAAAGGACACTTCTGGTAAGAATGTATCGGACTTTATTATCAATTACTATCATTGAAAGTTTACGTTAGATAATGAATTGGGGCTAGGAAAGTGAAATTGTCAGTAGAATAGTTCCACTTCTGATGTAAAGCAACATGTGGAAATTTTTCAATTTCTGATGACTGATGCCTGCATCACACATACATACCATCATTGCAAAAATTACTTTGAACACCCAGCATTTTGCGTTGCATTTTATATCTTTTATTCCTTTTCTGAAAAAAATACTACTTCCCCCCTTTCTCAAGAACAAAGTTGGTAATTTAGACAAATGTCATAAAAAAGGACAGGAAAAGGTAATTCCTAATTCCCTTATCTGTTTTATAGTAAACAAATATGGGGGAGAGGGGATGGGAAAATTGATTTTGAAAGCTGAAGTCAGTGTTAAGTTTGGGAAGTAGCCAAACAGGTTGTCGTAAATTATCAACTTATGTTAAATGAAGAACTGCAAATTAAAGGAAAAGGGGAAAGTAGATGAAAAATTCAGAAAGATGCTAGTATAACAGTAATTTAACCAGGTATGGAGGACATGTTGAAGTATTGTTGACTATGTCTTGTTGAAGTATAAGTATAATTAATGTCGGATCATCACTTTTGTTGAATCTCAAAATATGTAGAGAACAACGTTTTATCGCAGTAATTCTCTGTTTAACAGCCTTTTTTGTGATTGAGATAATGATTATCTGATAATCTTGTTTATTTTCAGATAGCGAAGAAGAACATGTGTATAATGGGCCTAAGACAGTGAGGTGGGCCCCTGAAAACGAGGAACTCGAGACTTCACGAACTTCGCTCAAGGATGTCCAAAAGCAGAAGCGTCGTGGATGAAGTTTCAGTTTCCGTGGAACCTGGCCTCTTATGCGGATTTACAAAGCTAATTTGTTAAGTTTTTCATACTAAACATTTATTTAAAATCGCAATTCAGTGGGATTATATGAAATTTTTCAAAAAGAAAGGGTTGGAAAATAAGACCTATTGGTATGAAGGAGTTTATAATTTTTTAATGTTTTTACTTTTAAGGTAAACAATTATTTTACTGCGCCATTTTTAAAAATGTTTAAGTTTATTTTGTAATTTTTCCGGCCATTTTTCAGGCTCTCGAAAAACTGGTATACCACGCTCAACACGTTCTGGTGCATATGCTGACATCAAACCTCGTACTGACACAGGACTTAGGGCTCCAAAAGGAGGCATTTCAAACCGCACACTGTCAAGGCGACAATCGCATGTCAAGGATCTTTTTCATGGCGCTGCGGAGAGCAAGCTTCATCGGTCCTCCTCAGCCATTGATATACGGCCAAGAAAAACTCGCCATCCTATGTCAGTCCCCAATTATCCTTTAAGAAGAACCAAATCGTTAGGCGATATATTTGCTCGTTACACGAGAAACAAAGGGCCTAAAATTGATGTCGATTATGAGTTTTTTGATGATGCTGTTCGCAGTCGTATGAAAACTGGACGGAGTGGGATGAAGCGGCCAAGAACGAGTCTAGGTTTTCCACGATTATCAATCGATGTTACCCGTGGTGGTGGCAAATTCTTCCAATCTCCGATTAACAGACCAGAGAGGAAGGATGCCTCAGATAAAGATCCTAACTTCAGAACACTACGCCCTATTCTCAGGAGGTCTAGATCCCTTAACGAAAGTGATAGACCACAACATTTGAACACTGACGACGTTTCAAAGGGGGAGCCTGAAGCAAAGCAATCAGAAACTGATATGAAAAAGGCTGCAAAATTGGAAACGCCAAAGTCACCGAGCAAAGAGACCACAATTAATGGCATACCCCTCAGTAAATTGTCTAAACAGGGCACAAAAGCTACTAGCAAAGGCGGCAAATTGGGAAACGGCAAAGTTGAAGAGGCCGAGAAGAAGACGATTGAAGAAGATGAAAAGGAGGGAGCCCGGAATTTTGCACGCTGTTTGTTGGGGATTTTGCCGTCGGTTTTGTCTTTGACTGAGCCACAGGCAGTGGACGAGGCACTTCAGCAGTTTGCATCGGATGTTTGTGAAGCTGTTTGCTGTATGGCATTGAAGAGGAAGAATGTCCCTAATTTTGGCACATTGATGCGACATTTTGAAGAGGAAGATGAACAGGAATATGGTGACCCGTTATTAAATGCTGATGGAGTCTACCTTACTGTGCTTGAGACTCTCTCATTGAATTACAGGCTGAATAAAATCGGTTATTACAAGAAAAAGAGTGTCGACCCTGTCATAAGCCAGGTAATTTTGTCTTTTTATCTCGATAATTGCCTTGCATGTGCACCTGAAACTTTTTAAAAGAAGCTAATCAGACAAATGGATCCTTAATCATAAAGTAAACAGATACGAACTGATAAAGTTTGGGGCTTACGGAAGCAAGCACCACTTTCTGTTTTGACTGAACGGTATTACGGCGGCTTTGATTAAATAATTATTTCCCTAGAAATTATTTCCCTAGACATTGATTTTGTATAAGTTTCTATTTTTTCCAAAATGATAAAAATATGAATAATTTTCTACTGTTTCGCTAAAAATCTTTCCGAACACAAAATCTTGCGGTTAGGTCTCACGGTTTGATTGGTTGTTTGGTAATGTGCAGGTTTTGTTGAACCAATCAGATTCCTTCAACCTTCAACAAAGGCTTTGACGTTTTGCCTATAGAGTAGCTAAGTATAAAAATCATTTTTAGATTTGTTGATTTCTACAACTAAATGTTTGTGACGTCATCAATCTGTTACTCTACTTGTCCCAAGAGCGGATGCTGAAAGATTCTAAGTTGAGAGGGGTACGGCAAATTGACAGCGCATACTATTTTTGTTTATAATCGAGGAAGAACTAAATTCATCTCGCCCGTGCTGTTTACTTGAGGCCTCCCAATTAGATCGATGATGATAAATTTAAGATTTTCAGCTTTGTTGTGCCATAAAATTAACAATAATATTCATTTTACAGATGCCTTCGTTTTCCGATGTCCTTGTAATCAAGAAATCTTATCAGTTTCTGAATAAGAAAAAATGATGTTTATTCTTTTTTGCAATTTTTCATAAGTAGGAACTTGTTGAATAATGTCAATAAGAATTTATTTATATACATTATAACATTTAATATAAATTTTCCATTGAGGTGAAGGACCATTGAATCTTAATAGACTATTCACTGATTTGTTAAGGTGTCTGAGTTAAGCAAAATCTCTTTTTAGGAAGCATTTGTCTCCAGCATTTTGAACAACAGCATCGAAGTTCGTCTATCAAAAGTTTGGTTATCCGAAGTTTATCGCCTGGTTACAACGTATGACATCCTGTCCAAAGCTGGGTTTAACCAGGAGTCTTCAGAGACAAATAGAGCTCTGATTTGCATTTTGTCAGAGAGCTTTTATTCCAGCTCTTCTAACCCTCCTGGAAGAGTTAGTGATACCGAAAAAGAGACAAAATTATCTTCGAATCAAGTCAGCTCCGATTGCCAATCACCGGCTGTCAGAGAGGGAATCAAATTCGCACGAAAACTGCTGCTAGCTACATGGGACCCCGTTCTAGAAATTCTTGGCCTACCCCTAGATACTTCAACTAAAATCATCGGTGAGATATTTTATTATTATGTATGACTAGAAGTGAAACGGTTTCTTCTAATCTATGTCATGCCCGCTCTTTTTCTCGGACCCTTCATAAATTTTGTGGCAATTGTTATTCGACGTGATGAATGAACATTGCACATCTGCCGCAAAAGGAATGATTTGAATGTAAGCGGATGATCAGTTCAATAAAAACGATGTTTTTAACTGTCAAAAAATTGGCAATCTGCTCTTTTCTCAGGAAATAAGCCCAAAAGCATAGATATTGAATTTATTTGGATCTTTCAAACACGCGTTTTATCATTTGTTAAATATTCACCGCCCGTTGATGTTCACCGCCCGTTGATGCTTACCGCCCGTTGATGCTTACCGCCCGTTGGTATAAATGATGACTTTTTAAAATGGACTTTTGAAATATCACTTTATAAATATTTTTAACTTAAAATTCAGTAATTTTTTCTTTTTTCATCATCCTTTTACGTCAGATTTATTATGATGCAAATTCTTTCTGATGTAGCAGGGAACGGCAGTATTGGTATGGCGCTAATGTTAGGAAATGAGGGCATCAAGGAAAACATTTTCAAAGAGCGAGATATGATTTGCCTCAGCCTAGACGGGTTCCGCAGAGCAGCACGATTATGCTGTACACTTGGTAAGTCACTGTTGCTTATCTGATGTCTGTCACACTGCTAAGCAGTGTTACTCAAGGATCTTGTCTTGTGACATTTCTATTCTGTAAGAAAATAAGCTATTGAAGAAACCTATGCTATCTCATGATGGTTATTTCGATATACAGTAAAAGATAACTATTATTATGATAATTACCATGCTCTGTTATCCCCATCCCCGAAATAACCAGGATCTGATGACATCATCATTGTTATTTTGTGCCACTTCAACGCGCAACATCAGCAGCATTACTTTTACTCCATTGGTGTGAAGGCCGGGTTGCTCGCCGCTTCAGTGTTTCTCAATGCGTCCCTTATTACCCTGGTAATGGATTTATTCTTCGTTTCCGTAAGATATTTATTGCAGATTTACGCATTTCACTGCATCTGACAAAGTAAACAAGTGGATTCAGACAGCTGTTTGTAAGGACCAAGAAAATCACATCTAGTGAAATTATCGTTGTTTTTTCGCGGTGTGCGCAGAATTCGTTTCGCCTGATAATTGCCATTGTGGCCGTCGTAAACATAGGTATGTAACAGAGATAAAGCAAGAGGAGAATGATACCGATCACTAGTGTTTTGTCTTTCTCCTTTGCTTGGTTTCGTATCCTAGTTCTCTCTTCATTGCTTAGCGTGCCGATGTTGGGTTGGGTGCGTCTTTTGCTTATAATAACGGAGTAAATTCTTGTATAGGCCGCAGCCGTGGCAACCAATGTGCAAAAGCCGTAGATCATTACTAGCATTTCTAGGAAGTAGTGCTGGGTTGACAGGCACACCGCAACGACCAATGCGTAACTGATGCTAGCAACAATTGCGGCGTAGATGTAACTTTTGCAGGAGACCCATTTGCGATAAGCGAATGGATGGCAGATTGCGAAATATCGATCCGCTGTGACGAAAGAGGCGAAGACGAAAGAAAACCCTGTTCCAATGGCGATGGTGTACCTTGTCAGTTGCCGCGTAGTAACCGAATCCATCGTTGTAATCAATAGACCGTTGTAAAAGACAAATATAGGCTGAACTATTACCCCTACCAACAAATCGCTGATGCACAAGGCTCCAAGGAAGACATTTGCTGGAACGTGCAGGCTTCTTGTTCGTATTAACGTTATTATGAACACTAAGTTTCCAATGATAGTCAAAAGCAGAGGCCCGAAATCTAAAGAAAGTAAAATTATTGAATTTAATTTGATTGGTGCGGTGCTTTGAACGTGGTCCCAGGCACACAGGTTTCCGTTCGCGTCATTCGACCCCATAACCTCTGAGATGGATATCACGCTCTCACTTGTTTGATATTTCCAGCTGCCTCGTCCGGTCTACATCACTAGGAGTAGATAATTGTATGAAATAAACCAGCCAACTTGAAGAATGAAATGGCTATAGAATCTCATTACTCTGCTCTTCGTGATGTTAACAACCTTACATTTTCAGCCACTAGCACATATTTTTCGCACCTTCCTACCGATCTAATATCTTTCTTGCTCACCTGCGGTCTGACAAAATTTTGAATTGTAATTTACTATGCAGTGATCTCTGATATACCAAGCAATCATTTGGTTGATAATATTCTCTTTTAAAAGGTACTTTATTTACTAAATATTTGGCCAACTTGCTTTTGTATTATGTTTCTGTGTATCCGTCGGCTTGCTGTCTGTAATTTTGTTCTGCCAGCAATCTGAAGAGCGCTCTCATTTATGCAGAAGTCTATCAATAATTCAGTTTTCATGCCCATTTGACTTCGAACACCCTGGAGCTATATCCCTAATTTTAAGGGGGTATAAATGAAGTCATACTATCTTTAACCACATCAATAAGTGAAAAGAAGTGGTTGACAGCTTTTCGTTTAAGAACGTTCAGGAAGATTTCATGAGTTTTAAGAAGATTTCGGAAATAAAAAATAAAGAAGATTAGGAACGAACACCACGTTTTTACCCTAACGATTTCCAAGATATTGCATAATTTTTTAACCAACATTTGCCTGTATTAATCAGACAAATGTTATTTAAAGGATATGTGAGTGTCTTCCATTACGGCAAGAAAATAAACCAGTCATAAAATTAGTATCTCTTGCAAGTGCAAGAAATGAACAGGGATATTTAATGTTTAAGAGGGCAACATTCTTCCGCCTTTGCTGTCATATATTATTGCGTAGATTGGTATTTATATGGAGTAAAACCAACTAAAGTACTGTTTAGGGATTGTTCACGCAGAGCTCTTAATTTCTCAACTGGAATTTAAAAGCATGTTTATGAAATGGAAAAATTAACATTAAAATATAGAAATTTTCCCAGTTTGAGATGAAGTACCTTAAAGAATTCATGCACAAAAATAAGCTTTTATTCCACATTTCCTGTGTGGAAGCTGGCTAAATTACGGGAAGAAGAATGCTGGGGCAAAATTTTAGGAACAAAGTCAACCCAATGTTCGCAATAATCCTTTGATTCCGTTAGAATTGAGTTAGAATTCGCGGCAATGACCTCTGACATTTTAAGAAAGCCTCGTCCCAGCCCTGGATTATGCCCCGTTTTCAATCGTAACCAAAAAGTTTCGTTCCTTACCGTTTACATTAGAGAAAACAAGCACGATTTGGGAACGGAAACAAAGAGTTGTGCATTATAGCGAAACCAAAGAAGAACGGTGCCGTTCCCAAACCAGCACGGAACCAAGATGCCTAGGGTAAACGCAGGGCCTATCGTCGCTTTTTCAGGCACGAAACCAAAGAGTTCCGTTCCTTTTTCTGTGGTGTAAACGGGGTCTTAATGCAATTCTTACAGTACCATTTATGAGTGGGCTGATAATCGTTGGGCGGGCTCATAGTTTGGCAGGCTTTTTCTCGGTTGGGCTCATAGTCAAATTGGCTCGAAAGTCTGGTGGACCAGCCCGATCTCAACCAGCACATCTCAACATGTCCAACACTTTGCACCCAGCAGCCATCGCCAGGCCCTCAAGGAAAGTCAGCCTCTGCCTTCCTCTTTGCTGTTTCCCTAAGATTTTCCCTTCGATCACTAGTTTTTCTAAACCATTCTCTCTCATTATCTAGCTTAAAACTCAACTGTTTTTTTCCGATGGTGACCAGTAACTTCTTTCTTTATTTGCTACTTTTAATACTACCATTTTGATAAGTACGCGATGTATGAACCATTGACACTGCAACTACTATATGGATCTACAAAGAAGACACAGAACGGCTTAAATTTGGAAATAGCAGATTCCTCTAAGCATTGATTTACTTCAAAACTTGAATATTTCAATAAGAGGTTCACAGGCAGTTAGCATTCGGAATCTTCTGCAAAGCTCAAGGTGTTTAGAAGAGTGTGTGAAAACTTTATTTTGATATCCATTTGCTCTGTATTCTTCTTATAAGTAGTTAACAACGGATGGCGCACTCACATGCTACTTCTAACTGGTTCAACTCATTTGCAGGTTTTTTTCTTCTTGGAAAAAACTAATTTGAGTCTTAACTACTTTTCTATCCAGCAGTTTTTCTATCCGAAACGCAAATCGGGTTAGGTAGAAGAACGTCTCTCTAGTGAGATCCTAAAGAAACTAATTAGCAGAATCATACCACGAAATCATTTAAGCAACTACCGTATTTACACGAATATATACAATGTCTGGTTATGTTGTGCCACAGTAAATTAAAAGCGTAAATTCCTTATGGAATACCACTAAATGCTTAGACAGGCGTTTAATTACATGCATCTGGTTTCATCACCTTTAGGTTGAACCGGTCTTTGTTAAAGATACACATTTGAGCTGACTGTGTTTATTGCGTTTGCCAGGTATTCAAGCAAGATGCGAGACAGTTCTGGGAAGGCTTGCTGAAGCATCGTGCGGGGATCAAATAAACGAGCGAAAACTCAAGTCAATGAGCCAAGCTGGGCCGCTGCGCTTGCACGCTGCGCACGTACTCAGTATGGATGCTCTACTTGCAGCTGGACTGGAACTTGGTTCCCATGCCCCTAAGTGTTGGTCACATGTTTTCAGGTAAGATATTTTGATTAATTTTCTCTCCCAAAATAACGTCTATTTTTTGAAATTTTCCAGGCATGTCAAAATTTGTTCAAATTTTCGAAAGTATGGAGAATTCAAAATTGGTCTTAATATTAACAAAAAGAGCTACGATTGTATTTTTTTGCTCGCATATTTTATCATTTGTAATTAAGATTTTAATGAAAGACTATTGAGCTCTTTTCCCAAACACTGAATCATCGAAAGTTCAAATTATAGAAAATGCGAATCTTTATGAGTTCAAATCATCGCTCGTTCGAGACATCGAAAGCTCGACCCATCTAAAATTTGAATCATCACAGTTTTGAGCTATTTTCTAATTTGAATGACTGAAAGTGAGATTCACCAATCAGTCGAATCATCTGCCGTAACCTGCATTTTAATATTATATTGACATTTGGCTATTATTTCATTAATTCTTTAAAATGGAAGTTTCGCATTTGGAAACAGTTCATCGGAAATTAATATGACATCTTTCTTCATATGACTTCTATGATCAAGAAATATTCATGAGTTTAAATTATTTATTAATGGCTCTTCGTGACTTGCAATTATTGAATTCTAGTGTCATACAAAGATGATATGCGTGAACAAGCTTTTCAGTAGAAGTTATTTATAATTAAACTGATTCTCCAGGATGTTTTTTTGCTTTATGTGTCGAAAAATTTGATTTCTTTTTTGTTCATTGAGGCTTGATTCATTTTAGAGTTTCAGAATTCTTTCTTTCTTTCTTTCGTAAGCCACTCATTCATTTTTGCTTTCTTATTTTCTTATAGCTTTCTCGTTTGCCATCAAATTAACAAAATCTTCTCTTCTAGATGTTGCCTCTACATTTCTCATCTCGAACATGCCCATTTCAACTCAAGTGAAACGTCATCGGTCGCCTCACTTTCACTGCCTCTTAACCCTGTGAGCGACTTCTCTCCCGTATCAGAATCGTCTAACATATCTGAGGACAACGTTTCAGTTGATGGAGTCGACCCAAATGGGGTTTCGAAAGGATCCACTCCATATAATGGTGTTCTATCGCCAGAAGACGCATCAAGGGCTGTGTACGCTTTGTCTTCGGCCGTCGATAACTTATTCGAAACTGCGTCGAATACGCTGAGCATAAACGCCTTGCTGGAGTTTCTCAAGGCTTTAATAGCTGCCTCGCAGAAGCAGCTTTTTGATAAATCGAAAGACCGGAGAAATCCGCAGGAAGCTCAGAATGGCTACGAGGTGTTTCAAAGTTATATTCCAATGAACACTCTCCATCTTTATCATATTTGTGACGTCATGCTTAGATGTGCAAGAAACTCAAATAGGACTTTACTACATATAATGAAAGCATGGAACCTTGTTTCTCCACACTTGGTTGAGGTAAGAAAAGTTCCTTCAATCTAGCTTAAATTCGTATTCTTCGAAATGGCGATTTCAAGAAGAATTTTCTACGCCTCTTCCAGGAAGTTCCTTGAGCCATTGTTTTAAGTATGGGTATTTTAACTAGTTTGCAACATAAGCAGTGTCAATTTCACTCTCTTTTGAATCCTTTTTACGGTATCTTTTCATAAACAATCGACAAAGTTTACATCTTACAACAAAATAAGAGATTTACTGCGCCATTTTTGACGTAGTAGAAGTGATTTTTATTATTCGTCGATCTTGGCTTTGCAGTTTCTTGTATTGTTGAAAAAGGGCTCACTATAACAACAACTAGCACTTCTCCTTGAAACCATGAAGTGATTTTATTTCTAATTCATTCGACTTTGATTAAATGTTTCTAGGATCAACAAATTGTGAAATATTTTATTTCATAAATAACAAAACTGCCTGAACTTGGTATTTAGACCTGGGAAGGTCTTGAAGAAGAATTCTCAATTAGTATTGATTGACATAGCACCACTATGGGGGATAAACTGGGATATTAAGATAAGACTTAAATAGTTTTGAGGTTGGCTGGGGACGGTAGATAGGGGTGCTTTGGAGGTGATCGATCTGGGTATGATGAGTGCAGTCAAAGACTCCAGAAAAATTACCTCTGCCAAAGCAATCTGACCCCATTCTGTTTAGTGCTTTGCTAGATTAATTCACAAATGTAATATTCTTGGCAATTGGCTATCAACCGTATTTCATTGATTTTCAAATGTGTAGACCTTCTTTATACTGCTGCCGTTTATTGTCATATGTCCAATAAAGTTGTGATTTAAGTAGATGGCAAGACCAGTTCCTCCCTAGGGTGCTATTATACTTTCATGAGACTGCCCCAATCCACTACCGATATTACCTTCAGCTGCAGTACTTTTCTGTGGACGCTTACTTTTACGTTCAAGATTGCCCTTGAATATTCTTAGTGTTTGGTCATCGAAAAACCTTACATGCGATTCTTGCTCAAAAGAGCTGTCCCGCCTGCGCGATGCTGAAATTGACATTTTTAACCGTCTTATTTATCTATTGCATCAGTAAGTGTAAGGTTCGTTTCCTGTTTTAAAACATAATGATTTCGAGCTAACTGATAATTTTTCCTTCTCGTGAAAGTTCGCCTAGAATCTTTTTGCAGATGGCCATCTACGTAATTTGTCACCTGCTGGCCAATCGTTCTTAATTGCTAAAGAAGATGGATTTTTGCTAAAAGCTTTAAACGAAAACTATTTCAGAAGTATACCCTCAAGTTTTAACGAGGAATTCAAAGAACCAGCCTTATATCGTACTGCATGACAATACAAAAACAGTCAATTTCCCAACACAGCTGCCGCTAAGCATGCTGGTTGCGCAAGAGCCTTTAAGCTCAGTTCAGGTTTTCAAGGCGCTTTGGAATTTCAAAGCAGCGTGACATTGAAACCCGATTATTTTTATCAACAGTTATAACTGAAAAAAAGCAAAGCACCATGAGAAATTGAGTATGAGCATGCGTAATTATGACATGCGCATGGCACAGACACCAAGTTAGGGAACTGTCTTACTCATTTATAAACTTTCTCTTCTTGTCCTCTTAATCAATTACTGGATAAAATAGCTCTGTGTAAACTGTTAGTTACAATATGGAAGCTCAATTCTAGGAAATCATGTCTAGAAATTTCGATAAATCAATAGCAAAAGTATCTTAGAATAATTTCTTCTGTCTTTAACACCAGAAAGAAATAAGCTCTTCAATATGAACTGTTTGCAGAGTTGGAATTTTCAGATTGCTTAAACGTTGTTTTGCAACTTCGATGGATGAAAACTCCAGAATACATGCTAAATCACGCTTGAAACTGTTCTTGCGCTGCATTTTAGAAGAACTTCAAACATTCTTGGCATATTTCTATACAGCTTTGAAAACATCAATAAATATCGTTTCTAGGCCGCCTGTCATCGTGGACGTCACATTTCCAAGGTAGCTTTAACATCAACACATGACATCCTCAGCGAAGTTCTTAAGCGAAGAAACGAATCGACGCATTTCTGGTTCCATGATCTTCTGTTTAAGCCGTTTGAAAGTCTCCTTTCCTTTGAAGTCTACGATGAAGACATTCAGGACCAAGTGAGTTATCAAATTTGTGTTTATGTCAAAAATGCTTGAGAGGTACTGATTTTGATGGACTAATATTACTAGGCCTGTTATCAATTCAAGTATTTTAAGTGGAGCAATGCAAAGAGGCTGGAATTGATTTGTAATCCCGGCCACGAGCGTCATTACTTATTTTCTGTTATTATTCTTAAATGTCATGGTCACATGAGCTATAATACAAATCAAACCACTTTCGTGCATGAAAACTTGTTACAGGTGTTAATAAGGATCAGTACTTAATGCTTTTTACACGATTTAAACATCCTTTTTTACCAAGTCCCGCTAGAATTGTTTAACGGGAGAGATAAGATGGCATGGGACAGAAACAAATTGTCTGGAGACTAAAAAAGGTTGGCAGGGGACCAAAAATCTCAGCTTGGGAAATGGAAGAACGGCCGAGTCATTCAATTTTTCGAAATATGACTCTCCGGCCAAAATATTTTTCCTTCAGGCACAGTTTTCATTTGGCTTGTTTAACAGGAGAGTATTTAGGATCTTGGTTGTCAAGAAATTATTTTCCCTGTTTGTTTACCGATTTTAACTCTTCGCAGGTTTTATACACAATTTACGAGCTCGTAGAAGGCTTCAGTGGATCAATAAAGTCAGGCTGGTGTTCACTTTTTGGAGCCCTCCGGAACACACAGATTCACAGCAGGAGATTAAGCGATGGTTTTGATGATACGAACCAAAGACAGGCTCTTCTCTTCAATATCATTGACAACTTCATCAACATAAAAAGCACTGCAGTGTTTGCTGCAGCTGCCATCGACTGTATCCTGTGCCTGTTGAAATTCCTTCGTGGTAGTGACAGCAGCCATTTAGAGACAACTGATGACAGCAAAAGTGACATTGACAGCATTGTTAGTGACATTCCAACGTACGACCTTTGTATTCCAGCACTGACTGCTTTGTCAAATATTTCTAAGCGATTGGCATCTGTCTATTTACAACCATCCAGTGCAATTTTCCATGGATCATACTCTATCGTGTTGGTTGATTTGAGCCAAGCACACGACAAAGTATGGGATGATAACTGGTCAAATGCCTCTGGCAGCTCTGGTAAGTGAGGTGTTCTATAGCAAAATCTTATTGATAACATGCTTCATGTGTTCGTTTATTTTCAATTGTATTGGCCTTGTTGCGTTTAGCAAATCTTGCAATCGTTGATTGCTGGGATACTCTCTTATATGTCAATCCAACTATGAAAAAAGCGTGTATGATTCTCCAAACAGGGTCACCGACATCTGTTTACCAAAAAACTATATCGTTGATGAACAAAAAAAGGTTTTTGCCATCTGTATAAAGATCTTACTACTTTTATTCTATTTAATATTTAAGACACCAAAAAACATTTTCTATCGAGCAGTACCTTGGTTTCTAAATAACCCGGGTTCTGTGATTACTAAGCTTGGAATGAAAGAGTTGGTGACTCTTCTTATAAGGTATAGGTATATAGTCTGATGTTGTCATGTCGCTATTGAGGTATTTCTGTAAGATGGAAAAACTATAGTCAAACTATCTTATTACGTCATTAAGTGTTGTTGCTAGGTCCAAATCTTTGCATAATTTTTATATGGCTACTAGTTATGAAGGCATGATAATGTTAATTAAATACACGAATAGTCACTGTTATAACGGTTCTTCTTCAGTAGGCTCTGACTCAGAACTCAAAGGGTTCTCCTCTACCGCCAAATCAATCACTGCTATTGATGACACAGGGATACTGCGAGTCTGGTTCTTACTTCTCGAAGGCTTGACAAGTGCTGTTGGGACATGTCCAAGGCGATTTCAAGCCCAGACGATTGATCTCCTATTCGAAATTCTACGTTCAATTTCCACTGTTCCTGGTCCGCATTTTTCGATGTTCGCAATAACCCACTTACTTTTGCCAATGCTACAGTCTTGGGTTCAAAAAAGCGCCAAACACCGTCATCATTTTGAGAGCACATTCAACAACTTCAAACATGCCTGTGGCCAGGCTACCCAACTGGTTGTTGAAGAAATGAGACATTTCCTCAGTGTAGAAGGTACGCTTTATTAGCTAATTAAACCCTTAAGACATTGCACATCCAAAATTAAGGTTTCTTTGTGCTATTGCTGTTTTCTTCATGCACTGGAAAAAAATTATCAAAAAAATACGAATTAGCAAAAATTTATCAAAAAATACGAATGCCATTTTGTCTAGCAGCATAGATCTCGTAAAAGGTTTTTTTATTTGGTTTTCGTTTGAGTCATTGTAGCTTTTTGCAATCATCTGGAGCTTCAATGCAATTTTTCCTAAAACTGAATGGCATAATTTGCTGGTATGGCGTGGTATTTTTTAACTAGAACCCGCAAGGAATGCTACTAAAAAGTACCAACTTAAGCTGATCCAGCTACATCAAAATTTACCAAAATTTGCTAAAGTAACTAGAAATTGTGAATTTCGTCCTATTTAGTTTAATTCATTATCTTTCATGCATAAAAAAGTGTTACAAAATCATAGTACATATAGATAAAAAATATGGATGTATCTAAATGTTGAAAACCTTGGTTCAAGTTTCCATGTGAGAGAGACTTTAATTGTTGCAGATATTAACTGGACTCTTACATGTAAAGAATGTTAGGAGATGAATTATCATAAGCATTATTAAACACATCTGCACTTTGCAACTCTGCTGACATCCTTTTTATATTGCGTCTTTATTCACCTCACACAGGTGCAAGCGAATGTGTTCCTACCATGGTAAAACTCCTTCTTGACCTGTTCATCGAGTGTGTAGGACAGCCTTTTGAAGCCATTGCAAGACTAGGGTGCTCATGTTTAAGGTATGTTATCTGTGAAAGATAATCGAAAAACAAGCTGCAGTTTTATCATAAAGTTTAACAAGGCCCATTTCAGTAGTTGAGAATTAGTGTAGAAACAGCAAGCCTTTTTAGTGCTGCTGATAAAATATAGTAAGATGTTTATTTTTTTGCCAGCTTACTGGCAAGCTAACAGATAACTAAAATATGTTCCATTATAAGTAGAGTAGCAAAACTTATCGTTTTAAAATTTTTTTGCCGAGAACAGTTTTCTTCCTTAGCTTGGAGTTTGCTACTTGCTATCACTCAAAGCTATAAGTGACTGAATTTGATGTAGCTTTTTGCACATTTGTCAGACCAATTAAGGATATATTTGATTATAGAATAGGGACTGGTAATGGATGTCTCTGATGCGACTGCAACTGTTTTTAAAACATTTAAACGTAAAGAGAAAGTGGAGACTTTGAGCAATGGCAAACACTATGACTGTAGACAATTCAACCCTTTTTTCTATTCATGGTTGCATATATTTTATTTTCCTGCTATTGCGCCAACATTTTAGCACTCATTGCTGACAGCAATAGATTCATTAACAAAACTGCTAGATCAGGCTGATTCTTGATTTCTACAGGCATTTGCTGTTATCTGCTGGTCCGCAATTCTCAGAAGAGCTTTGGCATAACGTATGCAAAGGAATTGAGCAAATATTTAATGCAACACTGGCGAATCTGAAGGAGCTCATAGTTTGTTTTCAGCCCGGGAGTCTAAGTGTAAATGGAGATAATGGAATGCATGTGAAGGTAGTTGCGCGCAAAGATTCTCCTCCGCATGAAGCTGCCAGGTTTTTACAGATTGCTGAGCAGGTGCGTTCAAAGGATGTTTTGTACATGCTTCTTGTCAAGCTGCATGAATATCTAGCTTTTAAGTACTGACTCTTGATGTTTTTCATATGTTTTTGAAAATTTTCAAGTAGACAGCCCACTTTAATGACTGTTAGCCTTGATGTTTGGAAACAAGTAGTTGACGTTAAAGCCTCAAATTACCTTCATATTGTCAACATTATAAAAAACATTCGGAAACGCAGATGTACCGTTAAAGTTTTGCCAATTCAAATAATTTCCTACTTTATCTAAGGACTTTTAAGTTCTTTAAGTTATTCAATCTACCTTCGCCGTAATAAGAAACACTGAATAATTAATGGAAAAGCTGAAATCTGTCCGATGCTTTGCTGTTTGTTCAATGACACGGGCATGCAGTGAAAGGAATTTTTCAACAAAAACAACTCGAAAAAACATAGCCCTAAGATATGAGCCACTCTGTTACAAAGCTTCGCGTTTGACAAAGTGTATAAAACTTTCAGAAATTTAGGCACAATATCAGTGCAAAATGAAACCCGATGAGTCTTTGCAATAGTGGCATCGATGATTATCATCTTGAAGTCAGTAGAATTCTTTTTAAACTCTTTTCGCCTCTCTATTTATTTTGTTTTATTTGCTTTCACGGAAGGCCCTCAGTTCACTCAGCTGAAACATAAGTACCTGATTGAAACATACTAGAGTTGTAAAATGAGGCGAAGGGAACTGGCCACCCTACCACACAATGCCGTGGCTTTGGACGATGTGCCCCTAATAGTGCATTCCCCAACGCTCGATACTCGAATGCGGGACTAACCTTTGCTTTTACTTTTAGGTTTTCTTGCTGGAGTCACAGATTGGAATGGCAACACCCAAGAATTTCTCAGAGAACAGCACTGAAGATGACGACTGCAGGTCCTTTATTTTCGTACTCAGCCTAAATGAAGCAAAGGACAAGCCGGAAACAGCAAAAACAAGGTTTGTTTTCTTCCATCTAAGCTTATTTAGCTCTCCAATAAGAATGTATGCGCTGGCATTGCTGAAGGAGTATCGGTGTTGATCCGGACACCCAAAAGAAATTGAAGCACATGGGAGTAATATTCTGCGTTGGGTATTCATGCAAGTTTCTAGAAAGAAAGAGTCCTTGAGAAAAACATGTTTGAATGTATATAGAATGTTGAGTATGATGCCAAGTATTATGCTGTCTATGCCAAGTTCTTCTTCGAAGCTAGCCATCACAGTATCGCGTAGTCTCACCCTTCTTTATGTCAAATTCTGAATTGCCCGGTCTCAATAATCAATTCTCTAAAAGTTGATGTTTTCTCTTTTTTTTTTGTTTCTCTCTAATTTCCCCCTCCCCCGATATCATGTTTATTGCATGATTTTGAAGCAAAATGATAAAACTACAAATCCAGCATTGCTTCGGGGGAAAAGGGGGATTCGAATTTATGGGGGCATTTGATCAAAACAATTGTGTCTGGGTTTATAGCTTGCTAGATACAGTTATGAAATCCATCTGTCTTTTAAGCATTCAAAAGGTAAATATTACACGATCATCACGCTTATTACACATAAATGCATTTTTAGGATCCCATTCAAATCGATTATGATTGGTCTGTTGGCAAATCAAATCCTGGTTCACACATTAGGATCCATTTTACTTGAGAATTCCGATTCCAGCAGTTTGTTTACCAACACAGTCCTGGCATCCATTACTGATTCCGGTTTGGTGAAAAGAAACCCGGATGATTCAAGTGAAAGTCCGCTGCCGGGCCTGCTGTGTTACCTTTCACCTGCGAATCTCTCAATCCTATTTGATTGCCTACTTGAAACAAACCGGGTTGCACATGATTTTAACACAAGACCCGGATTGAAAGCGCTTTTTCAGAAACTAGGGAAGCTCCCGGCGCCAGCTAATTTGTTGCGACAGTCAATTACATCATACGCATATTATCTGAATACATTGTTTCAAATTTCACGACACGATGGTGAGAGTTTCTCGATATCGCATATAAAACGGATACTGACCGGAGAAAAGTCTGCTATGGATTCAGCACCGGATACTCGTAAAACCGGGAAAGAAGACACCGGGCTACCACCTTTAGATAAACACAAAGATTTGTTAAAAGGTGGCAGAAATATAGACTGGATTGTTCATCGTCTTCATGAAGCTTGCAATCAACTGAGCAGCACTTACATTAAACTTCATGCATCGGATATAGTTGAGCAAGATTCCGGATTCGACTCACTCTCAACCTCCTTTTCTACGCCTATATCGAGTCCATTCAAAGGACATGTACATCCACACGATACGTCGTCTCAGGAAAGTCTTGACATAATGAGAATCGGCAAGCAAATGGAGATCTCAGGAAAAGAGTATTCTCCTTTTAGGTTTCCACGATTGCGAAAAGATGACGATGGCAGGTTTTCTGAACAGGACAGTAGAGAATCGATTCATTTGAATAAGCAACAGCAACAACAAATGCTGCGCAGACGAGAGGATGAAATTGTGCACTTGAATGCGTGGGCGCAGCTTGTTATAAACATTCTAGAGCTGCTTCTTGCTTTGCCTACGTTGCAGTTTAAGTCGGTTCTTCCCGCCGTTTTTCCGTCTGTTACCTCACTCATAACAACTGTTTGGGACCCAAGAGTGCGACAACTTGTGTGCAATGTTGTACGACGATGTGGTGCCATTTATGGCATTGTTTGAAACAAGAAATTCGAATTGTAAATTGACCGTCATATGTTCCTACGGTAGAATGTCGCAACTGGATAGATTGGGAAGTAAGACAATTACTTACAGTTTTCCAAAAAGTGCTTTTTTGAAAGATTGATGCTCTTCCTCCCCCACCCAGAGCGTTTAAATATCCACACACAACGGACGTCGAAGCGATACAGAACTTCAGTAACCCACCCCAGAGGGTTACCCACAAGCAAAATCCCAGAAGCCACTACGGAAACTTCTAACAGATGGAGGATATTTCACATCATTCGATACACGTGATAAATTCTTTTAATTAGAAATTATTTAATGATCAAGTTGAAGTAAAATTCTTTAAAACTCATTTTAAAATTGGCCAGCTAATTCTGTACAAAGTGGACGTTTCTGGATTCAAAGGAAGAGACCAATAAATGCGCATTTATGGTTGCACTTGTGATAGATTCTTTGCCTTCAATCGTTCCGCAAGTAAATGTTCTTTTCAGATTCGCAAATCAGTTTTTGCGAGTGCGTCTCTCATTTTCAGATTGAAAATACAAGATTGTTTCCTAAAGAAAAGTCCTCTCAAGGTAGGTTTTCCGGGATATAATGGAAAAAAAAGAAATGATAAACTGGAAGCCTAATCGTGTCTTATTAAAAAACCCGCTTAAAGAATGAGGTCCTTTAACTAGAAATAAAATATCAAAGGTTCGATTGATCTGTTAGAAACTTTAACTAATTTGTTCTGAGAAGAATTGTATCTTCTCTGAGACTTCATTATTGTACAATATATAGATTTGATGTCTATTGCCTATATTATTAATAAAGAAATATTTTGAAATCTATTGTACATAAGATGAAAATTGAGTAAAATATATAGTACTGAACAAATTATGTCTTATTTCTAGCTATTTTCTGTGATCTTACATTCCTAGAACGAAATAGTTTGACAAGATTTCTTGCATAGCTAGAGAAAGGGGTGTAAGTTGAATAACTTAACGAAAACTTTTGATGTATGATCGAAGTCTTATTTTAAAAAGAATTCAAACACTGCTTGATAACTTCATAACTTGCTTTACTCAAAAAAATATTTTGCGAAGTTATTTTTACTGTCGTTCCACAAAAAACAACTTTCGTTCCAGAACACAAATTTATTCTGATTCATTGTAAAAAGGAAGAGATTTGAGTGTTTTTACAAAAAATTTTTTTGAAAAAATTCCGACAATTTTTCAAAGCTTATAGCCTTAGTTTTTCATTAAAGATCGACCCCTCTGTATCAACATTTTTTTTCTGAAAAATACAGCTATAATTCCAAAATTAATTTAAAATCTAGTCAGTTTTGATCAAAAAGAGATTATTTATGGGCTTTGAAAGAAAACAAAATTCCAAAAAATTCCGATGATTTTTCAAAGCCTATAGCCTTACTTTTTCACCAAAGATCGACCCCTCTATATAATGGTTTTTTTCTGAAAAAAAAACAGCTATAATTCCAAAATTAATTAAAATCTAGTCAGTTTTGATCAAAAAGAGATTATTTATGGGCTTTTAAAGGAAGAAAAATTTCAAAAAATTTTGATGATTTTTCAAAGCCTATAGCCTTACTTTTTCACTAAAGATCGATCCCTCTATATAATGGTTTTTTTCTGAAAAAAAACAGCTATAATTCCAAAATTAATTTAAAATCTAGTCAGTTTTGATCAAAAAGAGATTATTTATGGGCTTTAAAGGAAAAAAAATTTCAAAAAATTTTGATGATTTTTCAAAGCCTATAGCCTTACTTTTTCACTAAAGATCGATCCCTCTATATAATGGTTTTTTTCTGAAAAAAAACAGCTATAATTCCAAAATTAATTTAAAATCTAGTCAGTTTTGATCAAAAAGAGATTATTTATGGGCTTTAAAGGAAAAAAAATTTCAAAAAATTTTGATGATTTTTCAAAGCCTATAGCCTTACTTTTTCACTAAAGATCGATCCCTCTATATAATCGTTTTTTTCTGAAAAAACCAGCTAGGTTTCGAAAATCAAATAAAAATCTAGTCGATCTTGATCAAAAAGAGATTATTTATGGGCTTTTAAAGGAAAAATAATTTCAAAAAATTCGATGATTTTTGAAAGCCTTTAGCCTTACTTTTTCACTAAAGATAGACCCCTCTATATAATCGTTTTTTTCTGAAAAAACCAGCTACGTTTCGAAAATCAAATAAAAATCTAATCGGTTTTGATCAAAAAGAGATTATTTATGGGCTTTTAAAGGAAAAATAATTTCAAAAAATTTCGATGATTTTTCAAAGCCTTAAGCCTTACTTTTTCACTAAAGATCGACCCCTCTATATAATCGTTTTTTTCTGAAAAAAACCAGCTAGGTTTCGAAAATCAAATAAAAATCTAATCGGTTTTGATCAAAAAGAGATTATTTATGGGCTTTTAAAGGAAAAATAATTTCAAAAAATTTCGATGATTTTTCAAAGCCTTAAGCCTTACTTTTTCACTAAAGATCGACCCCTCTATATAATCGTTTTTTTCTGAAAAAACCAGCTAGGTTTCGAAAATCAAATAAAAATCTAGTCGATCTTGATCAAAAAGAGATTATTTATGGGCTTTTAAAGGAAAAATAATTTCAAAAAATTCGATGATTCTTGAAAGCCTTTAGCCTTACTTTTTCACTAAAGATAGACCCCTCTATATAATCGTTTTTTTCTGAAAAAACCAGCTACGTTTCGAAAATCAAATAAAAATCTAATCGGTTTTGATCAAAAAGAGATTATTTATGGGCTTTTAAAGGAAAAATAATTTCAAAAAATTTCGATGATTTTTCAAAGCCTTAAGCCTTACTTTTTCACTAAAGATCGACCCCTCTATATAATCGTTGTTTTCTGAAAAAACCAGCTAGGTTTCGAAAATCAAATAAAAATCTAATCGGTTTTGATCAAAAAGAGATTATTTATGGGCTTTTAAAGGAAAAATAATTTCAAAAAATTTCGATGATTTTTCAAAGCCTTAACCTGACTTTTTTCATAAGTCGACCCCTCTTCTTAATCGTTGTTTTCTGTATAAAAAACAGCTACGATCGAAAATCGAATAAATAGAATCTAGTCGATTCCTGTTCCAAAAGCATTATATACTGGGCTTTTATAAGGAAAGAAAAACTGTTTCAATAAAATTTCGATATTCTTTCAAAGCCTTAAGCCTTACTTTTTCAGCTTAAAGTACCGACCCCTCTAATTAAATTCTTTGTTTTCTGAAAAAAAAACAGCTGAATTCGAAAATCGAATAAAACATCTAGTCGATCATTGATCAAAAGGATCTATTTATTGGGCTGTTTAAGGAAAATATATTTCAAAAATTGCGATGATTTTGAAAGCCTTAAGCCTTCTTTTTCATAAAGATCGACCCCTATATCAATCGTTGTTTTTCTAAAAAAAAAACAGCTTTGAATTTCGAAAATCAAAATTAAGAATCTAGCTTCGTCTTGATACAAAAAGAGAAGTTATTTATGGGCTTATTTAAACGGAAAATATTTCAAAACAATTCGATGATTTTCAAGCCTTAAGCCCTTATCTTTTTCAGCTAAGGAAATCAGATGCCGTCTATATCTAATGGTTTTTTTCTGAAAAAGAAACCAGCTGTTATTCGAAATCAAATTAATCCTAGTCCGAGTCTTGATCAAGAAAAGAGATTATTTTGTCTTTAATGGCTTCTTAAAGAAAAGTAGAGAATTCAAAAATTTCGATTGATTTTTTGCCAAAGCCCATAGCCTTAACTTTTTCACTAAAATCGGACCCCTCTTATATAATGTTTTTTCTAAAAACAGCCTATATTCCAAAGTTAATTGAAAATCTAGCATTGTTGATCAAAAAGAGATATACTTTATGGCTCTTTAAAGGAAAAAAAAATTCAAAAATTTGTGATATTTTCAAAGCCTATAGCCTTACTTTTTTCACTAAAGATCGATCCCTCTATATAATGGTTTTTTTCTGAAAAAAAACAGTCTATAATTCAAAATTAATTCTAAATCTAGTCTTTGATCAAAAGAGATTATTATGCTTTAAAGAAAAAAATTTCAAAAAAAATTCTGATGAGGGTTTTTTCAAAAGCCTACTAGCCTTACTTTTGCACTAAAGATCGAATCCCTTCTAATATAATTGGTATTTTTTTCTTTATGAAAGAAAAAAAGCTAAATTCCAAGAATTTAATTGAAAGTCTAGTCAGTTTTTGATCAAAAAGAGATTATTTATGGGGCTTTTTAAAGGAAAAAAAATTTACAAAATCCTTTCGATGTTTTATCAAAGCCCGTAAGCCTTACTTTTTCACTTACAGTCGTTCCCCTCTAAGTAAATCGTTGTTGTTCTGTGAAAAAAACAGCTAGAATGCGGTAAATTCGAATAACAAATCTAGCATCTATGATTCAAAAAGAGATTGTATTTATGGTGCTTTTAAAGGGAAAAATTAATCTATCAAAATTTCGATTGATTTTTCAAAAGCCTTAAAGCCTTACTTTTACTCACAAAGATCGACCTCGTGATCTATCATATCGTTTCGGTCTGAAGAAAAAAACAGCTAGACATTCGAATCGATAAAAAATCTGTCGAATCTATGATTCACAAAAGAAGATTTTTATGGGCTTTTAAAGTGAAAATAATTTCAAAAAATTTCGAAATTTTTCAAAGCCTTAAGCCTTACTTTTTTCACTAAAGAGTCGACCCTTCTATAGTAAGTCGTTGTTTTCTGAAAAAAAACAGCTAGAATTCGAAAATCGATATAAAATCTAGGTCGATCTTGATCAAAAAGAGATTATTTATGGCTTTTAAAGGAAAAAATAATTTTCAAAAAATTTCGATGATTTTTTCAAGCCTTAAAAGCCTTCACTTTTTCACTAAGACTCGACCGCTCTCTATATGAATCGTTGTTTTCTGTAAAAAAAACAGCTAGATCGAATAATCGAATAAAAAATCTAGTCGATCTTGATCAACAAAGAGAATGCATCCCGGCTGAAATATTATATGCGGCTTCTTAAAGGAAAAATAATTCCAAAAAAATTTCGATGATTTTTCAAAGTTCCTTAAGCTTACTTTTTCACTCAAAGAACGACCCCTCTATATAATCGTTGTTTATCTGAAAAAAAAAAACAGCTAGAATTCCGAATCGATAAATCTAGCTCGATCTTGATCAAAAAGAGATTATTAGCGGCTTTTAAAAGAAAAATATTTCAAAAAATCTCGATGGATTTTTCACTAAGCCTTAAAGCGCTTTACTTTTTCATAAATGATCGACCCCTCTATATAATCGTTGTTTTCTCGAAAAAAAAAATCCAGCTAGAATTCGAAAATCTGCAATACAAATGATCTAGTACGAATCGTGATCAAAAAGAGATATATTTATGGGTTGTAAAGGAAAAATAGATTTTCAAAACAATTTCGATGACTGATTTTCACAAGCCTTAGGCCTTATTTTTCACTTAAAGATCCGGACCCCTCCTTTATTAATCGTGTTCTTCTGAACAAAAAAACAGCTAGAATTCGGAAAATCGAATAAAAATCTAGTCTCGATCTTGATCAAAAAAGATCCTAGTTATAGGGCTTATAAAGGAAAATAATTGGCAAAAAACTCGATGAGTTTTTCAAAAGCCTTAACGCCTTACTTTTTCACTTAAAGATGCGACCCTCTTATAAGGCCGTTGTTTCTGAAAAAAAAAAGCAGCTAGATTCGAAAATCGAATAAAAATCCTAGTCGATCTTG